TATTATTATTTAAATTTACAAATGATTTATTTATTCTAAAACTATACTAAACTGGAAAGATAAAACCCAGGAAACCCCTCCACCCTCTCTGCAGAGTGGATGAACCCGGAATCCTCTTTAGGTGCTCCGGCTCCTCAGGACTTATTTGGCCGGAACGCCTAAAGAGGGCAGACAAGGGAGTAAAAGATAAGTATATTTAAATGTTGTACATTTATTCATTTTCCTTAACTCACACTCTTTTCCTTTACAGGTCCGCACCTTCACATACAAATCAATCTTTAATAAATGTTTTAAAACATTAGTCTGTCTAATTCATACTCCTGTTAACCCTCGTAAAGGACTCTTCTCCATTTATAAAAAGCCATTGAAGATTCAATCATAAAAAATATGAAAAAAGGTATTTCTGCTAAAAACAAAGGTTGTAGTAGTTAGATATTGTAGTTATTGATCATACCTGAGAATTTGGTGACCACGCCCTTTTTAGAAAAAAAGTTATTCAAGATTTGTAGTCATATTTCATCACAAAAAATATAAAGAGAAAAATACAAAAAAACAAAGGTTGTAGTAGTTAGATATGGTAGTTATTGATTATATTTGAGATATTCACCGCGGAAGTCCGAATCTGTGAATATCAATATATTTGAGAATTTGGTGACCACGCCCCTTTTTGAAAAAAAGTTATTCAAAATTCATATTCATATTTAATCATAAAAAATATAAAAAAGATATTTCTTCTGAAAACAAAAGTTGTAGTAGTTAGATATGGTAGCTATTTATAGTATTTGAGAGTTTAGTGCGTGTACTTGGCTTAAAATAAAAACTATTGTTCGTTTACACAGCTGGTATTGGCATTTGTTGACGCTCCCTGAGAATTTGGTGACCACGCCCCTGAGGTATTGGCATTTGTTGACGCTCCCTGAGAATTTGGTGACCACGCCCCTGAGGTATTGGCATTTGTTGACGCTCCCTGAGAATTTGGTGACCACGCCCCTTTTTGAAAAAAGTTAAAGATTTGTAGTCATATTTCATCACAAAAAATATAAAAAAGAGAAAAATACAAAAAACAAAAGTTGTAGTAGTTAGATATGGCAGTTATTGATCATACCTGAGAATTTGGTGACCACGCCCCTCTTTGAAAAAAAGTTATTCAAAATTCATATTCATATTAAATCCTATTTATTCATAAAAAATACAAAAAAGAAACAAATGCTGAAAACAAAGGTTGTAGTAGTTAGATATGGTAGCTATTTATAGTATTTGAGAGTTTAGTGCGTGTACTTGGCTTAAAATAAAAACTATTGTTCGTTTACACAGCTGGTATTGGCATTTGTTGACGCTCCCTAAGTGATTTTCTCGGCACTTGCGGCGCATTGGATTCAATGGATTTCTCTGCATTAAAACAGCGCATTGGATTAGAAAAATCGATGTTGTAGTAGTTAGCCCATGTAGAGGTGATCATTTTGGCACAATTACTTTCGTTTAACAACGTAGCTTTCGTAAGATATTCACCGCGGAAGTCCGAATCTGTGAATATCAAGCTAACTTTACCGAACTGAGCCGAAAGTGGCTGACAACTCTCCTCGCTGCATCGACCGCCTTTGCCACATCAGGTAAGACCAAACCGGACTTTATAGCTAACTGTAGAGTGTGTCCGCTGCATCCCAAATCTTTTAGACACATTTGGCAGAGCTCCAGTGCTAAATTCATGTTACTGGCATTGTCATGAACGGTGCAAAACGCGCTTATCCCCCAATTTTCAATAATTTCACTTAAGCGACCAGCAATGTTAATGGCAGTGTGTCTCTCAGTCATCAATGTTGTACACAAGACCCTGGCTTTTAGTTCCCATGTGTTGGTAATATAATGTGCCGTTACTGTAATATACGGCTCCATATTTGGTGAAGTCCATAGATCTGTCGTTAGAGACACGCTTTTTCCTCTCATCTCATTCGCCATTTCTTCGTGAACACCGTTGTATTCGTGTTTTATAGTATTCCATATTGTGCGGTAAGAGGGGATAACGTAATGCGGTTCAAAAAAGTTGACTAGTTCTCGGAAGCCTTCACCATGCACTGCGCTGAGTGGCCTGATGTCTTTAACAATGAAATTCACAAGCAGCTTGGTGATTTGTTGTCTTCGTTTGTCTGGCAGCACAGTCCGTTTAGTGAAGCTGCTGATTGACTGTTGTTGAGAAGGTTGCTTCTGGGCTAGCATTAGCGTCGGATGCTTTTTCAGATGAGAGTGCAGCGCGCTTGTACTTTTGTTGTACTTTAGAGTACCTTTGCATAAGCTACACGTCACCTGTGTACCAGTTTCATCTTTAGTAAAATATGTCCAAACGCTTGATGTAGTGCTGCCTTGGCGTGATGATTGGTGAGAGGTACTAGGACCCTCGTTTGGCATGTCGCTGTCCTGCGCCGCCGACTAGTAGATGTCACATGAACAAAGTCGCGAGACAACCGTAAAGTCGACTTGTCGACTAGTCTGTTCAACCCCTACTGGGTACATATAGACACAGACACAGGTGAAACACATCAGGGCAGACAATCAAGACAGAGGAAAACAGGACGCGATGTCAAACTGAAACAAAACCACAGACAACTTAATTCAAAATAAAAACAAAATACAAAAACAAAATCCACACCATGACAGTATTTAGTTAGTATTTAGTGTGTTATCTGGTTTTGTCTCATGGCAAAACATGTTTGTTTTATAATTTAACAGCTTTCATAACTTCAGTCAGGTGTTTGAGTTCTTCCCCACATGTTTTAGTTCTGCATTTTGTTATTTTACGCTTTTTGTGGAAATAAAAATCAGATTCCTATAATGCAGTGTTCAACAATGTTGTGTAGTGTTTCTTTTCCCACAAATTAAGACAGTGATTGAAGTGGGGCCATTTTTACTTTCTGTAAATCAAGTGATGATCCTGGCTTTCAAATGTTTTAATTCAATTTTATTTAAAAAATGAAAAATGCGATGTTATATTGAACTGTTTTGGCCATTAGACCGGATTTGCATATGAAAACTGCAGGACCTCCAGGTGTTTTATTGTGAATACAACAACAGCATTTTCTTCTTGTAAAAAGTGGCATTTGACGTGTTTGACCTTTCGGTGAAGTCTGTGACGTGGTTTGTACGCTGCAGCTGTGATAATGAGCTTATTTGTGGGATTGGAGTAATGAGAAACAGTGTTGTTATTCACAGATACCAAATCGTCATGCACTATCAGACAGAGACACATATCATTGGCAGAAACACATTTTAATTAGATTTATAATTGAATGCAAAAGAAAGTAATGCTATGTACGTAAACCATATATGTCAGTGGAACTGCAGGTAAATTTACTGAGCCTGAATAGTCTGCGGGGCTATTTTTAGGTAAGACATAAAATGCAATAAATAGATTAAGAAATAAGATCGAAGCGTAAATTATTTCTGAGGATCAAAAGCCGCCCAATTTCATGTTTTAGCCTGTACACAATTACAGAAACTTTTTAAGTACAAAATACTTCTTCAACTTCCATAGCAGATCAAAGATGTATGCAAATCCATCAGAAAAATATGATTAATTTTTGATTTACTATTGCATTTAGAAAGAAAGTGACCAGTGTAATTTTCTGAAGATTCTTCAGAAAAACACGTGTTTAAAATTGAACTTGTACACTGATGAACGATTAGGAGTGATTACTGTCCAACAATTTAATTTAAAACTGTTTGAGTATTTTCACATCGTAAATTATTAGTGTTCAAATGTGAAATATGTGCGGCATATGAATGTTATGTTATGAATGGTTTCTAAAGGCGTTGGGCTTTATAATTGTAGTCCATTCAAATCCCTGTAGTGCAACAGTGTTTAGTGCGACTGCTGACACATGATTAGGAGAATATTTTATTGCGATCATTAATCTAAACTAATCAGAGGAGAAGCTGTGCTGATTTAGCACCTGCCAACAACTATACAGTTGTATTTATACGTGTGCAATGTAAACTGAGTTAGATTGTGATATGAGTAAAGGTTCTGCCGTTTTGCAAGTCCACTACGTCTTTGTGGATTTAGTTGTAGAGGTTTCATGTATTTGAACTGAAAGGGAATATTGTTATGGCCATCGTTCAGTCGGCCATAACAATATGAGTCTCCACTCATGCGTCCTTGCAGTTAGAACTTAGAAAAAAGGACATTGTGCTTGGCTTTGACCAGAAGAAACTAATTAGCTGCTTTGACAAGCTCCAAGGGCGTGAATCTGGAGCTGAAATTGGTCATAGCAACCAAACAGGCAATCCGGAGCAAGGCTGGTCTGTTTCTGACAAATTCTGGGATAAAAGGCTCAGGATACAAAAGACAATATCAAAATGTAATCATCAGGATCATGTAGAATGTTAAAGCGTGGACATTCATAGTTCAGAATGCTGATTGCGACACCAACATCTACAGAGAAAGAGGCTTTTTTTCATTGAAATTTAAAGTGAAGCAGGCGGTTAAAGGGGGAAAAGTGATTTTTTTTTTTAATAACAACTAGCATAACATGACAAACATTAAAATAGTAATTTACCTTCACATCTGCTGCATTTTTTCTATCTTAGTGATCACCAGTGTTTTGTATTTTTTTCTGTGAGCAACATATCTCAAAAAGTGATGGTAAATTCCCACTTCCCAGCGAACAATCGATTACATTTTGAAGGAGATCATACTCACTGCATTTCAAGTGGTTTTTAGTCTTTTATAATTACTTATAAAAGAGAAGTTTGTGAATAAGATTAGATAAGATAGACTTTATTGATCTCGCACTGTAGAAATGTACATGTCACATTTGGCAGATAGTCACTCAGATTGTGCAAAAGACAGAAGGTAAAAAGTATAGTCTGTGCAGGATATAATTATGTACAATAAAATTAATCGTGGCAACAGCAGTGGAGGTTTTTCAGTCCTAGTGCATTAGCGACTTAAAGTGACTTATTGTACAGTCTGAAGAATACAACTGGACCTGTCTTGTGTTTCCCAGGTGAGCGCTGTGAGCTGGACCGCCGTCAGGGCCGCTGTGTGCCGGGGGTCTGCAGAAACGGGGGCACGTGCAGAGAGCTGTCCGGAGGGGGCTTCCGCTGCGAGTGTCCCGCCGGAGGATACGAACGGCCCTACTGCACCGTCACCGCACGCTCCTTCCCCCCCAAGTCCTTTGTCCTGTACAGAGGCCTGAGACAGAGGTTCCATCTGTCTCTATCTCTGTCGTAAGTACTTCTAATGTTTCTATTGTACTCTGACGCGTTTTGTGCGACAATCCTCACTTTGGTTTTTGCTTTATGCCAGAATTTGTGTTCTGGTTTTTAATCAAACAATCTATACAAACATAATTTGTGTGGCATAGTTAACTAGACTAGGTTAATCCTCATTGTCGACAAATTTCTCATTTTAGACAGTTTCAACTTTGTAAAAGAAAGAATTAAGCAGATGAACTGTCCTACTGTACATGAGCTTAGTCTGGACATGCAGTGTTTTATCTGGATATTCTATATTTTTGCTTTTTCGTTCTTTGAATTTATGATTCAGTAGTTTGCGGGCTCAGAGACAAGTGCCATCTCTAAATAGTCCCAGAGTTAGGGGTGGGTTATACATGATATAATTACCAGAAGACAAACACAAGGAAACTGCAACCGCTCAAGAGATTTAACTCACAGGCAAAAACGTTTAAATCAATGACAAATGCATTTATTGGAAAAATCTTGCAGGTAAATTTGGATATCTTCTACCACTAACACATCTACTATTCTGCAGCGGCTGAATAGATACTAAAATTGTGTTCTAAAGTTAATATTACAGTACTATTCATGACTTACATTAAATAAATGAAGTAGTAAAGTTCCTTTTCCGTCTTGTACATTTACTCTTAACTTGTGCTGTGTGCTCCTCTTTCCTACTGTTCTATAACTGGTGATGCAACACTGAAATTTCCCCACTGTGGGACGAATAAAGGATCTCTTAAGGGGCGTTCACACCGGACTTAACTTCGGCGTCAAAAGCGTCAGGTTTCCATTGAAAGTGAATGGTGAAGCGCGTCAGGTGAAGCCGAGAGCCCCGGCGTCACTTGACGCGCGTCAAAAGCTTCAAGAGTCGCGCGTAATACGCGCTCACTTGAAGCTTTTGACGCGCGAAACGCTCGCGTATCACAACAATCCCTCTAAAGGGGCGTTCACACCGGACTTAACTTCGGCGTCAAAAGCGTCAGGTTTCCATTGAAAGTGAATGGTGAAGCGCGTCAGGTGAAGCCGAGAGCCCCGGCGTCACTTGACGCGCGTCAAAAGCTTCAAGAGTCGCGCGTACTACGCGCTCACTTGAAGCTTTTGACGCGCGAAACGCTCGCGTATCACAACAATCCCTTTGACGCCAAAGTTGAGCAAAGCTGAGCTTTTGAAGCTTTGACGCGGGCTTCAACCAATCAGGAGACGAGGAGCAGCAGCAGCAGAGGGTCTGTCTCTGTCATGGAGAGAAGTCATGTATCTGCTGCTGCTGTTTTATTGTCATTATTGTTATTAGTAATATTATTTGTATGAGTAGTAAAATTCTGAGTAACAAAAATCATTGTACACATGCTGTGTAGTAAACCTAGTTTATTTAAAATAAGAACAGGCTGACGATGAGTCTGGCTCAGAGCAAGGCAGCTCCGGGCGGGCGAGAGCCTGGGAGAGGCAGGGAGAGGCGAGCGAGAGCCGGGGAGAGGCAGGGAGAGGCGAGCGAGAGCCGGGGAGAGGCAGGGGGAGGCAGGGAGAGGCGAGAGCGAGGCGGGGAGAGGCGAGCTCCGGGGTTTGAGAACTCAGACTGGGCGAGTGACATGCGGAAGTACCGCTGAAAGCGAAACTCCTCCGTACGCAGCTCCTGGAGTAAATGACGGAACTCTGCAAACACTGCAGCCTCTCAAGTCTGTGGTGAACCCAGAACATGTTTTGTTGAAGCCCTACAACAACGTTATTTTGCTTTATATAACAAATAAAGGCTCGCTGCTCATTGAAAAATCCACCGCTGTCCTGACAACAGGCGACAGAGAAGCTCCTCCCACCGGCGTCAGGCGCGTCACTCGCGTCAAAAGCTTCAAGCACCAAAATGACAAAACTATCCCGGCGTCAGTTGAAGCGCGTCAAAAGCTTTTTGAAGCTTTTGGTCTGAACGCGCCTTTAATCTTAATCTTAATCCACTTTTGTACATGTCCATTCTTCTATCTGGAGTGTGGATAAACACTCATTCATGCCAACGACTTTGCCAACGACTATTACTTTGTTTCAGAGCCCCTTGAGTTGCGTTTTATCTACTACAAATCAATCCAATTTCTTCTGGTCTTTTATCTGTCATTTGCGCCTGTCTCAGTCTTGTAAGAACCGTAAATGTGAAATGACAAACCCTGGTTTTAAAGTGACTCTTCAGAAAGAAACTAAACGTGAATATAAAACTTACAACCCTTGTCTCCACACTTCGATGCATGCTATATATTGATCTTAATGTTGTATGTATATATTATGTTTATATATGATATCAGTCGCTGATGCTCGATTGGGAACTCATGTCTGTCACCGTAGCAACAGCTGCTGACCTTGTCGCCAATAGCAACCCTCCTATCCCTCCTTTGTCCATCAGAATCACACATGTTTGTTACTGTGGATTTAATTATTATGATTACTGCCTTATTACTGAATTTGACTTTGTCTCTGGAGCAAAACTGAAGAAGCTCTGTCAAAGAATCCTTTCCAAAAGTCTCATTGTTGACAGTTTCATAGGTAGATTCATTGATTATTCCAAAGTACCAGCCAAATGAGATCCATGTAGTGATGACATGCTCATAATAACAATGCGTACAAGTATTTCAGAGAATCTTAATCTATAATTCCATAAATAAAAAACAAAACTATGGAATATGAAAGCAACATCATCTGAAGTAGCAGTGGTCTGTCACCAAAACAGCCAATTTAACAGTACACTGTTAAATTGTGTGTGACACATTCTTAGGATTTTCTAACGTTTGAATCATCTTCAACCAGGAACTAAAATTATACATCTTAATTAATAGTCAAAAATCGAAGATGGTAATGAAGGTAACAGTGTTTAAGTGAAAAAATGCTCTAGCCTCTCATACTCACTTTAACAATAAAATACTCATGCATCAGTGCGACTGTTTGATGACATTTGAAAGATGACTAGCTTAGTTCTTATTTGTTATATTTACTGACAGATCACGTTTAAGTCCACTTTTGAATTGGTGGTCTGTCTCTGCAGCCTGTTTGTTCTGAAATATTCATCTGAGGCTGTAAAGTGCCGAGTTATGGCATACATTTTTCATGCGGCGTGGAGCAGCCACAGTATGAAGTGGAAAAAGTCCAAAACAAAAGACCACAGAGTCAAGAGATTTGATCGCTAGAAAGTTTCACTTTCAGGACAATATCTTTCCAATCGTCACTTTTGAGAGACATTGATTGTTGATTTTCCAATGCTTATATACGATTTAACTAAGTTTAGGTTTATATCAGCTCATGTCATGTCTATAATGTACAGTATACAAAGAAGTCACCCAACCAGCATAAAGGTGCCTATAAACAAGTTTCATAAGTAGCTAGGCTGTTTATATTCTTATTATTTAAATCAGAATTATCTAGATATCTTACCACTTTGTATTTTGTAATACCTGGATGTATATTTTAAGTTGTATTATTCTACCAGCTGCTGTATGAACAGTATGGCCTGTATCTCACTATTGTATACAGAAATGATGTATATGTTTTCTGAATGTGTTATTATTGTAGGAGGTGGAGTGGGATCTGAAGGAGCAAACCTGTCCTGTGTGTGTTAAATGTATAAATGTTAATTGTTTGTATTGTGCTGTATTATATGTACTGTGTTTGTTTTATGTTCATGGGACCCTCTCGAAAATGAGATGCTACATCTCAAGGGGTTTTCCCTAAATGAAAATCAATCATATACTTGTATTTTACTTGTATGTAAATATACAAGGCACTATGTACAGTAAGTCTGTATACAGTTTGTAGTGCTATTTTATTACATTAAAACTGTAAACCCGTGTTTGTTTCCAGGTTTGCCACTTTGGAGAACAAAGGGCTCCTCTTTTACAACGGTCGCTTCAATGAGAAACACGACTTTATTGCTTTGGAGATTCAAGACGGACAAGTGGTCTTTAGATACTCCACTGGTAATTTCTTTTGTTTAAACTTTTATCTTTGTTTGTCTTGTAATTGTATATTTAAGAATGCATTCAGTGTGTTTTTTCTTCACGTATGAGTTATACTTTGTACCACCACCTCCCCCTCTGTAGGTGAGCTGTCGACCCAGGTGAGCCCCTTCGTTCCTGGGGGAGTCAGCGACGGAGACTGGCACACTGTTCACATCCGATACTACAACAAGGTCAGTTTATTAAACGCGTGATGTGTGGTGAGCGGTGCGGTCCGTACGTGAAAGCCTGGTCCTGGTTGTGAGCTTTAAAGGAAATGTTGCCTGTTGGTTCACAAGGAGAGAGGAAAAGACATTCTAATAAACAAACATAGTCATTGCCTTGTTTATTGCCAAAGTTTATCCTGTCTTCTCTTGAAGTCACAATTACCAAGCAATTCTTATTTTTATTTTTTCTTACGTGTCTTCATTCTTTCTACACCCTCAAAATTATATTGTTCAACTGATTTGTAATAATAATAATGCATCTGTTGTACAAAGTGCTTTTTTGGACAGTGGTGAAAAAACTAGTGTTGTAGCCACAAATGCCCTGAGGCACACTGACAGCAGAGTCACTGTGGTACTTGGTGTTTCCAGAGGTCTTCCCATCACACTACTAACCAGGCCCTGCTCTGCTTAGCAAGATCTGGCTTTCACATACAGGTGGCGCTATATTTTACTTTGGTGATCCTCTGGTCCAGTTACCTACACCACAAACATAACAATCCACATTTCTTAAATGTACTATTTGCTATTTTGTCCTCAGCCGGCTTACCGCTCTGTGAGTATCTGCAGCTCATGTAGTACAAGTAGTATCTATCCTCCTGTGCTCTAATACTTTTCCCTACTACTTCCTAATACTTGCTGTAGAATTTATTTGTAGTACTTTTTACCTCACTGTTTTGTGCGTAGCCTCTAGCCCACTACAGTCTGCATGCCAGTGTCTTGTTTTGGCTCCAAACTGTTTTTTGTGTTAATAATTCAGAATATGAGATGAGAACATGACAGAAATAACCCCCTTCTCTTCCCATGTGGCACAAGATTGTCAACAGAAGCATCCAGAAAAGATGTTTTGAGGCATAGTTTGTTTAGTTTATTATTTTATTGATGTGTCGCGTGTCAAGTGAAAACAGGCATTTTCTCAAGAGCATTTGAAAGTTGCTGAGAAAATAAAAGTGAGATGTCGACCGAATATCAATAAACTACTTTTATATTTCAGCCACATTGTTATGACAATTTGATAGTGAGATTTACACGTATTCTTTTTCACAAATCTGCTAGAAGTCTGTTTATTGTGTTTGAACTGGAAATAGATTTAAATTTGGATTTTTCTTTTTCTTTTTTGCAGATTGACTTAAACACATATGTCGTTATGTTTGGCAAAATATCTGTAAAATTGCAGCTTATGATTCGAGGTTTTCACTGAATTATAGCTGCTTGGACTGAGTATATTTTTTGTTTTGCGATCCTGTTATTAGCTGTTTAGTGAGAAGCGGACTGGGGTCACATGGGGTCACAATCCGTACAATCTGTATCTGACTAATATTGACATTATTCTTCAATCTGCATTGAACTTCATGGAAATAAAACACTTCATCAGTTATTATTGTTCAAAAGTTACATACTTACAGACAATTTCAATATGTTATCACCAACATCACTCATCACTCAAATGAACATTTCAAGTCAGAACAACATTTCAAGTTGTTTGTCATGTGGTGAAATGAAAAAGGAACCCAAAAGGCAGGACTGAAAATAAAGTATAATTTAATAAAATGATTTCAAAGTAACGCCAAAATACATACTGAAAACAAGCCAGGAACAAACGTGGTACAGACAATGGACGGACAACAAGTGGGGAAAAAGTAGTAATAAATACACACAGGGAGACTAATCTATTCAAGACAGGAAGCAACTCAAACTATAACAGAACAAATGTACAGTAAAATAAAACCAGGTCAAAATAATCAAAAAGTCTGCACCATGATATTGTAGAATAAGCACGGTGTAGTTGTATTAGCCCCCGCCCTTCAACTGAAACAGAATTCTACAACATGAACGCAGTTATTGAAATCAAAATCTGATTGAACTACATTACGGCTGTGCGCACTTTCACTTTGCCTCAAGGTTCTCTGTTCCTGGTATGGCCAGTATCCCGTGTTACTATAAAGCCCTTTCACGTTGATCCTCACCTAACCCAAAATATGTCTTTCTCCAGCTTGATGTCCCAAAACCTAATCTGTTGCTTCTTTATGCCCATATGGGACCTGGTGTTTCTAAACTGTCCCTGATTTCCTGTGTCCAGCCTCGCCGCAGTGCCATCGGGGAGGCCCAGGGTCCCTCCGATGAGAAAATGGCCGTGGTGAGTGTGGACGACTGCGACACGTCTCTTTCTCTGAGATTCGGGGCTCAGCTGGGGAACTACAGCTGCGCGGCGCAAGGAAAGCAGACCAGCAGCAAGAAGTGAGTGTCATGACTGCTGTTGGCATTGTTTTTCTTACTCAAACACACGCTTCTCACTAATGGTAACACGTAGTTTCGCAGCTTTGGAGGATTGTCAAGTTGGTCATTTCTCTCTGACACATCATATCATGGAGCTCAAATGTTTCCTCCAGGTGTGCGTGTTCATATCTTCGTTATAACGCCATCTCAGTTTCTTTTCTCACCTGTTTCCTGTCAGCTTCAGGAAGAAAACAGAAATTATACACTTACAGGGTATATACTCTTCTGGTTTCAAATGTATAGAATCAGAATGAGAATAATTTGTTTTGCCAATTTAAGTAAAAAGAACTCACTAAATACGAATTTGCTTGTTATCTACTTATCTATCAACAGATTTGACATTTTTGGCATGTACATAGCTTTATGACTATTTTAGAGGTTGAAAATCCAAACCTCTAAATGAAAAATGTTTGTTGCATTTAACTACTGGTAAAGTCATATCAGTTGAGAATCCTAAGCATTTAATTTGACTTTGATTTGTTATTTTATTTATAAATATTTGGCTACCATGATTTTGATCACTATTAAACAAAATTGTGACTTCTACCGTTCTGAAGTTATCACCCTAATTAGCAGGGGTTTTTGTGACTTGGTGACACTATTCTGATGTAAGACATACTTTAATGAGGAATTATGAATGTAATCTCCATAAATCCTGCTCAAACTGAGTCCGGAGCTGGCACACTTCCACTGGATAATTAGCACCAGTAACAAACAGCACATGAGGAAATTATGATTAGCTTAACTGATTTTTTGCATGGAAATAGTGCTTCTCTTACGTCCCCCTGAATGACATTACTGAGTTTGATGATGAAACACCTGCTTTGACCTGGATTTGTCTGAGTTCTTAGTTCTCATTATTACACCTGCTTTTACCGAGTGTGACCGGTTTCATACATTTTAAACTGTTTGAAAATCCTAGTTTGAGATACATTGATAGCCTCTGTCGTGCTTGCTTTTCCACGTCACTGCTTTTAACTGTCTTGTCTACCAGCTCTTGTCGGGTCTGTCCTTGTCAGTGTGAGTCAAGGCATTTGGAAAGTGAAATTAGTGACATTTCTTTGAATTCTAGCGAGACAGGCAGTTGGATGTGTACAAGCTATAATCAAACACATCGGCGGCTCAAATGGAGATGAAAATCAAGGACCCGGTTTCTGATTCATCCGTCACATGTATTCATCCCTGCTGTTCCTCCTTAGACAGTACTCATGTATAAGTTGCACTGTAGACACCCCCAGTGATGAAGTTATACCACATCGAGGTTATGAAATGATATGAAATGATACAAAATGATCTGATATGACACTGGGGGCCCTGGAGTGGCGAAAAATGTGATTTGTTCATGCAGTTGCCCCCATAAACAGAAAACGTGAATTCTAACCCACCTCCTAACACACAGGAGGATCGGTCCAAACAAAAGGATTATGTTTGCCATAAAGATGTACAATATTGAGGGTTTGTCTGTTGCTGAAAAAGCTGAGACATTTTTTAGTTTCACTCGTACTACAAGTGGAAATTAGTGATATAATCATTAGTGATAGAACCAAAGAGCCAGGAACCAGTTACATGGATTTTAATATATATTTGACATGTTTTTGGGTTTTTTCCAAAGTTTTGTGCTCCAGCTTTAAACTGGTGGTTGTGTGCAATAAGTATTCTGCCTAAACCTTTTACATTTTTCCCGATCTGTCACAACGCTGTTTTCTCTTTCTCATCAGATCTCTAGACCTGACTGGACCCTTGTTTCTCGGTGGTGTTCCCAACGTTCCCGACAACTTTCCGTTTGGCTCTCGCGAGTTCATCGGCTGCATGAAGGACCTGCACATCGACAGCAAGCCCCTGGACATGGCAAACTTCATCGCTAACAACGGCACAATCGCTGGTCAGAAAATATACTCATGGTGTCAGTTTAGTATATTATGCCAAACTTGTAGTAGTATACTGAGTAGCTGCTCAGGCAAAGGTAGAAATGATAGAACTTGAAGTATCTTAAAGAACAGTTGTATATGATGCTTTTTTTATCTTTTCCAGGCTGCAGTGCAAAGACGTCTTTCTGTAAATCCAACCCGTGCCAGAATGGAGGAACCTGCAGAGTGAGCTGGGAGACCTTCTCCTGTGACTGCCCCCTGGGGTTCGGTGGCAAAGACTGCAGTCATGGTAACAGTCAATATTTTTGTTTCGAATGGCAAAGAACGGTTATATCCATGATGTAATTTTGTAAGGATCCATTATATGAGCATTTAGACAATAGAGGCAGGGGCACTTTTTGCCCCTGAAGTTCCTGATATGAATGTGGATGGAGATAAAAACAACTCCAGCTTTTAATTAAACAATTTTTTCAATGCATGCATTTCTAAATGCATGTTTGATTACAAAAGGCAGCTGAGTCCAGCCTATTTCTTTATCAATCAATCAATCAATCAAAGTTTATTTATAAAGCGCTTTTCATACAACAAATGCAACACAAAGTGCTTTACAGTTTGGCTAAAAAACAATCCTGCCCATGCCCTCCCCCCGACTGCCCAACAGACCCTCCCCAGACCACAAGCAATTATCATGGTTTATTTTTACTTAAGTTCTATCTTATGGTATACTTATCACTTAGTTGATCCAATAGTCTAAAATGATTATGCAACTGTTTACAGTGGCAACGACAAATAAATCAAAGAAACTGTAAGATGAAGTATAATGTGACATGTCAGCCAGATTGCTGCCTGGATGGAACACATGTTGTTTCAGTCTAAAGGCAATCTCAGAGGTGATGCAATGCAGTGTTCAATCTTTCCATTGGGAATATTTTACAGCAGGAAAGCACAAACATGCCATGGACTAAGGCTTAACCTTTCACTGCTAATGAGAACATTTCAGTTTGAATGCTTCAAATGTATTTGTAATGTTCTGTACTATGAGAAGCCTATTTTACATTTTCTTTGTGCAAGAGAGCTTACAATATAGAACGCTGAAAAGATGCTGAAATGTATTCATTCATCAAAATAATTAAAAGTTTATAATTACTTTGACGTTAGGCTCCAATGTGCCTTCTAACAAATGTTTGTTCCCCCATAATGAATGCTGATGTTTCATCTGGAGCAGAGCAGAGAAGTGGGTATGACTTCTTTGCTCCGTTTAATTAATTTTGTGTTGCCCCTTTGCCCCTGCAGTTATGCCCCACCCTCACCGCTTTCTGGGCCACAGCGCCCTCTGGTGGGACCTGAAAAATGACGTGACCATCTCCACGCCCTGGTACCTGGGGCTGGTGTTCCGAACGAGGGCCAAGGAGGGGACCCTGCTGCAGGCTCAGGCGGGACAGTACACCAGCCTGCTCTTTCAGGTTTGCCTTTTCAGCTCATTCAGTTTTCAGCAAATAATTATACCTAGTTATTGTTTAACATGAATTAACATTAAATTAAATAGTTTGTTGTTTCTTCAATGATAAATCCCACTGTTCAGCCATTAACACCAAAATGTGTTTTCTGCACACAGTAATTTCCAAGAAAGGCCTGTGAATTATGCATGTGCACAGGTATTGAATGGTCAGCTGGTGTTCTCGGTGACGCGTGGATCCACTCGTCCGGTGCGGTTACGTCTGGACCAAGTCCTGGTGTCTGATGGGAAGTGGCACGACCTGCAGCTGGAACTCAGAGACGTGCGCAGCGGTCGAGAGACCAGATATGTTGCCACAGTCAGGCTGGACTTCGGACTATACCAGGTCAGGCTTCGGTTTGATTCTCACCTGGTTAATTCAATTTCTTTACCTTTCTGTACCTGATTTTGCCAGACATAAACATTTTGAACAATGTGCAGTAAACGTTTCATAACTTTCAGAGCCCAGAGCGAGTTATGCCATCACATATGTACACTTTTTCCCAAAAACATGGAAAATATCTGGTGCAGGGTACACTTTAACCTGATTTCTGTCCTGTTTTTCTCTTAGGGCACGGTGATAGTTGGGAACGATATCCATGGGCTGAAAGTGAAGCACCTCCATGTGGGCGGCGTCTTGGGGTCTGGTGAAGTAACCAATGGAATCAAAGGGTGTATCCAGGTGGGGAGATTATCATAATTACCCCTACATACCAATCTGTGACGAGTAATCACATCTTCAGTGACTAATGCACTTTTAACCCCCCCCCCTCTCTCTCCTGTGTTCTTCCAGGGTGTCCGATTGGGAGTGCGCCCGGACCCCCCTCCCCTGCCCAAACCATCCCGCTCGGTGAAGGTGGAGTCCGGCTGCACGGTGGGCAACGCCTGTGTCTCCTCCCCATGCCCCTCCCACTCACGCTGCAACGACGTGTGGGAGAAGTTCTCATGTGACTGCGATCCAGGTAGGCTGTTTATATATTTGTGGAAATTGTTTCAGTTTGGAATCATCATAACACCGCAAGGTGTAAATACATAATCCCATAATTGTTCAAAATAAAGTAACGGTTTGAATGTCCCGCAGCCCGGGGGTTGAGGACCACTGTTGGATGAAACAGTCTGGTTTTTTTTATCATGCAGTACTTCTGCTGTAGCCTGGCTCTGCCAGACCCTTGTAGTTCCGCCATGCTCCACCAGAGGCGTTTGGCTTAACCACATGGGTCTGGTATCGAGCCCATAGCGAACGCCTTCCCCAGATTATTTTTTAATCGACCAATCAGGATTGCCGGTGTTACGTGGGGTTTGCACTGCCTTCTCAAGCTTCTCTCATGCAGCAGCGAGAGGAATCCAAGATGGCGGACGTAAAGTCCGCGAATCTTTTTAAAAGAGTAAATACGATCAAATTAAGACACGGATGTCACTTTTAATGCAATTTGAGGCGAGATGTTGATGGTTCTATGTTGATATATGTGTGTTTTAAGAGTCAAATGTTCCTGTAAAGTTTGGTTGAAGCACTGGTTCAGTGTTCCTGTTTACACACTATGCAAAAGGGTTGCCAGGTTTGGTGGTTCCCGCATATTTTTTTCCAAGAGACTTGTAGGTATTAAATAAACAGAAAGACAATAAACAGAATCATGATAGCCCAAGGTGATTATATTACGTTTTTAGCCAAAAAATCATACTGAATGTTATTTTTTTTTTGGGTATTCTCGTGGATTTTGGGTTGGAAAATCTTGCTGGGATTTGGCAACCTATGGGAGCCGTGTGCTTCAATGTGAGTGGTTGAAAGCAGACTTCATTCAAGATAACGGACAAGTGGTCTATCCAATCACATACAAGGATTTTTTTTTACAAGGCCCTGCCTTCTGAAATCCAACCACTATGGCTCAGTACCAGACTCATGTGTGAAGTGCAGCGAACTGCATGGGTCTGGCGAGAGTCAGGCTACTTCTGCTGTACCTCTGCTTAAAATTTTGTTGATGTTGTTTAAAGAAGTTCTTACTGTTCTTGAATTGAGCATTTGTGAGGTTTTTTTATGTTGATTTCCCTTTTCTTTTTTGCTTTTATTTGTTTAGTTGACATTCAACTGGTGAATACCATTATTCACATTTTGGTCAAGACTATAGTCCTGGTTTGGATTTGAACCATTTCAAGTTGCAGCTGGAGTGGTTTTGTCTACAAGTTACTGCTTTACTAATTTCAGTTGTGGTGGGTTTCATCTTGTAGATTACAAATCTACAAATTTGTTGTTAGCATTGCTTATCTCAATCCACAAAGCCTGTTTTCTTTGGGGGCGCTGTGTAAGTTCATGGCTGCTGTATCTAGGTTAAACAGATATTTGCCTGTGTATAATGAGCGGCATGGGAGCAGCAGGAGGAGGAGATCAGCCACAAAAAGTGAAGTGGAATAATAAATATGGCTTAAAGAAAAACTCAAAAGAAACCAATCTCTGAGAAGGGAGCAATTTGGAAACTGCCGGTACTCTGATTGGACTATTGATATAGGACTCGACTATGATTGCAACTGAGCGTATAAATGACTTTAACAGTTTTTAACATGCTCACTATTTATGCAGCACCACCATATTGGCAAAACCAAACAAGGAATCCACTGCATGCCTTGGATCATAACTTGTTTGCGATTACTTTTATGGTGACCAAGGATAAAGCGAAATGCACAAGACAGAACTGTAATTTCTCACTGAAAAGGCCAATCAGCTCTCAGCCCAAAGCGTCAAATAGTGACTCACAAGGCTCTTTCTTACAACAAGTATGCAAAAGATCAAATGTTATATGATAAGATGAAGACAGCATATTAAAGTCTGATTTGTATCGGACATTTTACTTTGACAAGACAGGGTAGGAACAACCAAACTGAAATCGGTATAACAAAACAAAAACAAATCAAATAAAAGTTTTCCTTTAAAATAACCCTGTGCACTCTCACTGTGGAGAGTTCCAAATAGACAATACCAACAAATGTCATGATCCACTGTTATTTAGAAAAACAGAAAGTTATGTTGCCCAGCTTTAATGCTTCCCTTCACAACACCGCTTCATGCAGACATGCAAATTACAACATCCAAAAGGAAATTCTTCAAATCAGATGATTTCATTTAATTCCCTGAACAAATGAGTTGAAAGATACCCAGGCGACGGTTCTCCATTCAAAGAGGAGTTGTACAGCTGTAGTGAAAGAGGACAGGAAGTGATTGGGTTGAGAGAAGAGGAGGCCGCTGTGATCAAAGTGAAGCCTGAGGTCTTGTTGCACGCGCTTTGTAAATACAGGCTCATTAAAACTTTACAACTAACTAGTCTAATCTAATACAGTACACACAAAGTTCACTTCACAATTCTATTTCATCTATTAATCAACTATTTCTTTTTCAGTACCTCCATACATCATTCATAGAATAAATATGCTACTTTTATTTATTAATTGTAGCATATGCTAATCTACTGTTATAATCAATCAATCAATAACATTTTATTTATAAAGCGCTTTTCATACAAAAACATGCAACACTAAGTGATTTATATTCTGGTTAAAAACAATTCCAATATAATAATAATAGTAATAAAAGAATAAATATGATATTGTACACAATATGTTTAGGCCTGTGTCTTCCAACCCCTGTTCAAACAGCCCTAATCTTTAAGTGGGGTTAAGTGTCTTGCCCAAGGACACAACAACAGCAGAGGGAGTCAGTGGAGAAGGTCTCATGGTGGACTCGAACCCTTGACCCTCTGGCTCAAAGGCCAACTGAGCCACTGTAACAAACTGATGTACTTGTCTCCTTTTTTTTACCGCTATTTCAGAATTACATTTTCATTAAAAAAAACCCTGAAGACTTTTTGTTCTACTGCTGTCAGTTCTTATCTATTTTGCCCATATATTGATTAATAAGAAAAAATATATATATGAAAAAGGTCTGAGTAGATGAATTGTGAGCTTTGGCTGTTATGTCGTACACCCTATACTTACGAGTGCGAAGTTTTCTATGTAAAGTATTGAAATTGTGTATCTCCTTTATTCTTCTGATCCATTTCTTCATGTTGAAATAGAGACCAAAACAATCATGGTCAATTTAGTTTGTAGTCATTGTTGTAAGCATAAGCACAAATGTAGTATATTCAAACCAGTGTTTCCCAACCTTTTTGATCCATGGCACAACTTTGTCATTGCAAAAAATCATACAGCACACCACCAAATGAATTTTACACAAAATTGAAACTCTACAGTCTTTTTTAACAAAGCAAAGTCATTCTCATCCATGTGTATTATTATATAGCAAATCAAACAAGCACAAAAAAAATCTTTCTAATCATCTCACATTTTTTTCTTTTCACATGATTTTGACCAAGCAGATGATATTAGACTATTACTAATAAAACGTATGTGTACATCTCAACGTGTACATCACCAACGTCCCACGGCACACTGGTTGAAAAACATTGATTTAAACCATTGAATATTGTTATGTACTGTTTTTACCCGTACTTTCTAAAACCGGACACTATTCTCTCTTATTTAACCTGCAAATTCCCATGGAGATTACTAATCGCTTCGTCAATAGTGTCTTGGCCAAGGCAGCAGCACGGATCAGTCACATCAAACAAAGATCCTAAAACATTTACAAAGCATCAATCTAATTTCCAATCAATCTAAACCACAGAAACTGGACACTTTGGTACATACAGCGACATTCCGCTTTTCTCATAAAACTCACAGTACGATTGTCCCTGAGCCGGAACAACTACCTCGCTTCGTTTTATCTTTTGTGGTGTTCATTTCTTTGCTCGTGACTGTGAAAGAGCCAAGGCCATCTCCCCTGCGCGTTTCCATGGTCACAGCTAAGAGATATATACGACCGGATCGAAAATGATGAAGTGTTTTTGTTGAATGCAACAAAAACACAAATTAAAGTGAAATCATAGCAGCGGCCTCTCGCACATTGCAGAGGCAGCTGTTGAATAGATCCTGGTATATCGCTGGTATGTCTGGGAATCTCAAGATATCACATGCATTCTTTTAACATAAGATAAGCTGTATTCATTTACTGATTGTAGATCAGTTTGAGTAGTGATGGAATTCTCAGGAAGACAGGTTTTTTTCCTGGTCGAACCCAGATTGTCTTGTGGGTAAGATGAAATGAGCCTTAAAAGACGGTGAACGGCAAATATAATAGATTTGAGAGTAAATTTGAGAGCTAAAACAGAGCGAAGGACGACACAGGTGATAATCACGAGGGCAGGAAGTAGAACTAAAGATACAGGGGTAGAAAATTACAAAATAAAACCTAAACCATGACACTGAATTTTGAAATAGTTCAGACTGATGTTTCACCACATAGCTACATGGCAACAACAACAAAAATCCATATCCTCATTGCTCCTTATAATTGACCTTCTGTTGCTGTTTTTAATGATGCCGGATCCTCTAGCCGCCGGAAATGGGAGCTCCTCAGGAAAAACGACAGCACCCATAAACAGAACCTGAAAGAGCAAACGGAAACTCAGAAAATTAGAACATAATTCGAAAGTTCATCTATTTCTGTAATTCAGCTTAAAATGTGAAACCAATATATGATATAGATTCTTTACACGCAAAGTAACACAAGCCTTTGTACATTTTGATAATTACGCCTTACTGTACATTTTTAAAATATTCTACTTTTCTGACATGTTTTATTTGGGGCTTTTACAGCTGAGAGCCATTCATCCACATTATAACAAATTGATATATCTTACTTTACTTATAATAGGTCTGTCATATATAAGTTTCACGTTATAAGTTGTATAACAGAAGAACTTTTGAACAATATTCTAATTTTCCACATTTTATTCCACATTATATTAGCCTTTCTGTCATGTGGTGGGAAGGAGGAGGACTCAAAATGCAGGAATGGAAAAATATAATTGATTTAATAGTGAAAAAACTAAAGTCCAAAAGTAATCAAACAAATTCAAAATCCAAAACGGAACCAGGAACCAAGACATGAACAAACATGACAATGCAATGAACCAGCAACAAGAGGACAGGAGCATTAGGTAGATATAGACACAGACACAGGTGGGACAATCAGGGCGGGGCAGACAATCAACACAGGGGAACAAGACAGGAAGTACAACTGAAACCAAACCACAGAAAACTAATGTCAAAATAAAACCAAAGTACAAAAATAAAATCCACACCATGACACTTTCAGATCTCATCATCATTGTCTTAACAGAAGCTGGCACAAACAGGTGAGAATGATGCTGATGAATAAAGAGCTGCACTAAACCTGCACTTGAACATTTGAACCACCTAAACAAATGCATCTTAAGCAGATTCTTGAAAACGCCACAGAATACGACATGTGCAGGGACTGAGGAAGCTCATTCCAAAGGCGAGGAGGGACTATTAGCAGGTTCTATTTGTCAGGACTTTTGGTTTACGTTATTTTTTTCGGATTGGAGAAGGGCATTTTGTTTTTGCATTGTTTTCATTTTCTGTTATTCTGCACATCTGAATCAGTTTATTTTGTCCTACCAAGAAACAAGTGCTCTTCAAACCTTATTCTTTCATTTTTCCAATGAAAAAACACATTTGCAAACACCGCCCTTCCTTCATGCCCTTGTGCCTTCTCCTTTGCATGTAAATGGCACTGACAGAAGAATGGACTTTTCAATAGCTGCAATTGTCCTGTCAGTTCCAACTTATATTCGTGCAGGAGATGTGCTCGTTTGTGTCTATAGGATTTGAAACTTTAGTTTGCATATTTCTCAGAAATAGAAAACAGTCACTGCTGATACTTAGCGGTAGATGTTTCTATTGGGGTGAAAAAACAGAAATTATTGAGAAATCTATGGCTTGAAATTAAATATATATAATGAAAGGGAGTCTAGATTTCAGTTGTAAAAATTGATTCCAATACTGTCGACCCAAAAGGGTTCACTTTAACCTTATTTCTACTTCAAAAAGAAAGACAAAACCCATATAAACACAGAAGTCCAGGACATTCATAAAAATATGATATACAATAAATGGAATAATCAGTACAAAAGAAAATACTCAAATACAATAGTATTCGAATTGTTTCTTTATCTCAAACCTCCATTTAACGTGGAATTTTCCCGAACCGTAAAACTAAAAACTAGATTGAATTAATGTAAATTTCAAACAAAACATGTTTGAAATACACACCTTAAAATTATCTATATTTATCTATATATAATTTTTTTACAATGTGTTATTATGTGTTCCACTTTCTGTTGGACTTTCAATTCAAAAACGTCTGCTTACAGTACAATCAACTTGACAGATTTGAATTTCCCTTTGTGTTTTGTTTCCAGGTTATTACGGTAGAGGCTGCACAGACGCTTGTCACTTAAATCCATGTGAGAACGAAGCCAAGTGCCACCGCAAGCCCAGCTCCTCCCACGGCTACAGCTGCGACTGCGGAGACAACCACTACGGACAGTACTGCCAACACCGGTACTGTACTTATGCTGCTACTGTGTTCTGTCCCAGTTTAACATAATATCCCCTGAATGATAAAAGCAGACATGAGCGTTGCCCAATATGAGCCCAAATCTACATTTTATTGGGCCTCTGACTAATGCGACAGCTCTGACATGCTTTGATCAGTGAAGAGGAAGTGCAGTCTCAGCGCAGTAAAGGGGATTAACATTTGGAATCACTCACTATATCGTCTTAAGATCTTCCTCGAAATCCCATGTAACAAGACAGAAGATTATTTTTCCGGTTTAAAATACTGTAAATTTCCCAATTAGAAACAAAACATTGCCTTAAAACACAAAACACATATTCTTCTATCAATAGGAAGTGCATCCAAGAATTGCGTTATAACTAAGGCAAGTTTCTCATCCATGTGGAGCGATATAAATATACATATTTTTTACACTGAAAACTTTATAAAGGAGAGAGCAGCACATGCAAAAACCAACATTTTGATAGTAAAATCTTCATCTTAATTATGCAAAGTGCGACTCTACGACTTGTGTGTAGTTTAATAACCTTCGTCACCTGACCCACATGGAAGCAACAGGCTATAAAACAGTTAGTTTGTGTTTCCGGTCTAAATGTCCTGCGCTATTTGCTCACACTGAACACGTCTCGGCAAAAAGACTACCTTACGAGGCTGGTTAAGATAAGATAAGATCAAGCCCCGGCGATCCAAGATGGCGCCGTATTCAAATGAATGGTTTGTGCTCAGTGGCGCTTTGTGCCGGCACGGTCACTGACATATCAGCGGAACTCGCACGGAACTCGCAAAGATCCATGGGAAACTTGCCTGTATTTGGGCATCGTCTGGTCCTCCCGGTGCTGGAGGAGTTAGAGCGGGAGCCAGACGGGCAGAGTTTGTGGCATTAAAGTGTAGATTTAAAGAAAACCGAAGGATTTAAGAAGAAAAAAAGTTCAGGATGACAAGGGACACCACAATCCCCACAAAATCCAACCTTTATGAAAGCTGTAGGTTCTCTGTCAGCTGAGGTCGAGCTGTTTTAATTTACATTGAGTTCTATGGGGAAAATTTCTGGGTAGCCCTCGTGAATTTAGTCTGGTTTAGTTTGCAGTACCGCGAGAATCCCCCGAGCACATGGGTTTTTCAGCTCCAAGCTAGTAATACCAGGCCAAATTGCTATCTAATCCTCACATACCCTAGCTAGTTATTATAATAGATCCATGGATAAGATTTATTGATCTCACACTGGAGAAATGTATGTAAATGCAGAGTTGTTTTGACACAGAAGGGCGCCCCGTGGTTTTGATCAAAACTCCTATGTTTTGCGCAGTGAAAATGTGGATTATCACTTTTGTATGTGCAAGACCCTTCACCTCTATTGCCTGGTATGAGTCTGGTGTGTGTTTGTATGTGTGTGCGTGTGTATGTATGTATGTATGTATGTGTGCGTGTGCGTGTGTGGGTGGGTGTGGGTGTGGGTGTGAATGGGTGGTAGCAGTTGGTGGCTTCAGTTGTCGTTTATCACCACCATGTGTGAAGTGAATGAGTAATGCCATGTGAAGCATCTTGTGTCCAAAAAAAGTTTGTATAATTATTCTCACTATTGTCTCTTTCCTTATCCAGGATTGAGCAGCAGTGTCCTAGAGGCTGGTGGGGGTCTCCAAACTGCGGTCCCTGTAACTGTGACGTGGACAAGGGCTTTGATCCAGACTGCAACAAGACCAGTGGGCAGTGTCAATGCAAGGTACCTTCTTATGGCGGATTATTTGGTTTTTTTATAGTATTGAACTAAAAATGTAGATTATTTGAATAATCCCTGTAAATCCCACTTTAACCACAGCAGTTTCAAATATGGTTCATCTAAAATATTGTTCTGATGATATGTTAATCATTTGTAATCCGTTTTTAATCTGATCTACTGACCCTAATCCGTAATCTCAGGTTAAACAGTGTTGAGAGCGCCGCAAGTGCTGCACTTTCTCGCACTATTTTATATGTATGGATAATATTTCTTTTCTTTTTTGCGTTTTTGAGGAGGTTCTTCACTGTTCAGCTCACATATTGTTTTGTTTTCAGTCAAATTTCAGAAATACAGATTGGTGGTATCGGAGGTATTGCATCACCCCTCTCCTTATTTTTGACTTGTAGGAGTTCCACTACCATCCCCACAGCTCCGAGTCCTGCCTGCCCTGCGACTGTTATCCAATAGGCTCCTTCTCCAGATCATGTGACCCAGAAACCGGCCAATGCCAGTGCAGACCTGGAGTTATCGGCCGTCAGTGCAACAGCTGCGACAATCCCTTCGCCGAAGTCACCAACTCCGGATGTGAAGGTCCGCTTTAGTTCTTGTTTTCTTGTTCTGGTTGTGTTCCGTCGGCATTGAGCCCTGTTTTGTGATTTGGTCAAAGTTCATATGTTGTCGTCTAAAATGTCCTCTCCTCAGTGATCTACGATGGCTGTCCCAGGACCATCACAGCGGGGATCTGGTGGCCTCGAACAAAGTTTGACCTCCCGGCTGCAGTCCCATGCCCCAAAGGATCTGTTGGTGAGTCTGGCTTTTTGCTTGCACCTGCCTGCATCTGGTGCTGGTTTAAATAAGCTTATGGTTTTTGAATACTTGTATTTCTTACTCCACTACCTAAAATTTGAGGTAAAATTCCTATTTTTGTGTGATCTGTGTGATTACATTGAAACTAAATGTAATGATGATTATAATAATTCATTTTATTTCATTGCGCCTTTCAAGACACCCAAGGACGCCTTACAATGTATTAAAAACAGCACACACAATATTAAAAGTACAGAATAGAATACATTTAAAAATTGCAAAGAATAAACCAGTTTAAATAGGTAGTTTTGAGAATGTGATTTGAAATAATGTCCGTACTGTGCTCCTCTTTCTTAACTTATCTCTGATGATGGTAAATGTATTGTTCAATGTTTTTTGTTTTCTTTTGTGTTCCCTTGTCTCGTAGGAGCTGCCATCAGACACTGCGATGTGGAAAGGGGCTGGCTGGAGCCCGACCTCTATAACTGCACCTCTCCTCCGTTTGTGGAGCTCAACACTGCTGTGAGTTTCTGTTCACTTATTGTTCTGGTAAAGTCCGTTTGTTTGTTTTCATTACTATATCTTTTGTCACAGTTGGATTCTCTGGAGCGTAACGAGACCGAGCTGAACACCATCGTGGAGAAGAAACTGGCCCATCAGCTCCGAGATGTGACCGAGTCCACGTCTCGTCTCTATGGAAACGACTTGATGATCGCGGAACGCCTGTTGTCCCGCCTCCTGACCTTTGAGACGCAGCAGAGTGGCTTCGGTCTCACGGCAACGCAAGACGCACACTTCAGCGAGGTAAAACACGTGTCTTTGTAACTTATACTGAATACTTTTTGATGTTCATAAATGCTGTCAGAAGAGTCCATGTCTACCTCTAATAATTTAAACTAGAAAATTCATTCATAAATTTACAATAACAAAGAACTAAAGTAACTCCTTGGTTTATACCTAATATATTATAAGTCTAGGTCTAGGTTTATGAAATAATAATCACATTCATTTCAAAACACACACAAGTGTCTTGCCAATGTGCACAGTGAATCAAGCAATCTTCAGTCAGCAGTCTACCTCAGATACAGCCTTTAACTCCTGACTATTTGTCTCATTATACGTTGTCTGAACATACTGTATTTACTGCACTCTGTCTGCAGAACGTAGTGCGTGGGTGCAGTGTGCTCTTGGGGCCTTCGGCTGCAGGACTGTGGCGCTCGCTGTCCCAGAATCAGGCTCAGGTGTCGGGTCCGGCTCAGCTGACGGACCTCATGGGGCAGTACGCGCAGACACTGGCTCAGAACATGAAGCTCACCTATCTCAACCCTGTGGCCCTCATCGCTCCAAATATTGGTATGTGAAAATTTTTCAGCTCACTATGCAGGAATGGCATGTAGTTCTTGTAAGTATTTCTGAGCTAAAGTCAGTTTACAACAGATCTTTTCAATTCTTTCTCCTCAAAGCACATTCAGTTGTACAGGGCTGCAGATGCTTATGATTGTTTTACACTGTTCTGTACTGCCCAATTACTATTATACAAATAAAACATCTTTAAAGCTTGTGTACCTACAATTCAATCTAAAAGTAATTGACCTATGTAATCCATCTGACTAGTTCCTCGCACTCAAAGCAGTTTGATTCTATCACTATTTTTTACATGCTTTATTCTGACCAATGTTTAGCCAATCTGCTCTCAGTATCAATTAGTGAATCTCAGGGAACTTTAAATCTGCAAAGATGGTTTGATGTGTCTTTCTGTTGGGACAAACCAAATTATTTATGTGAAATACAAGTTAGGTATCCCAGCTGACAAGTCACCATTATTATTAGTTTTGTTCACGTGAATACTAATACAAGGGATTCAGGGAAAAGGGATTCAAATCATGCCCACATCCTGCAATTCTCCAAATTTCACATTACAGAACTTTCATATAACCCATTGAATTCTGCGCTGGGGTTAATTAAATACTTGCTTCCGCCTCTCCCCTCCGCTCAGCCTGTTCTCTTCCACTCTCCTCCCTTCTCTCACTGCCGTCTTTTGGCTGCCGTCTTTCGCTCCGGGGACATTTTTTTTCGTTGCTGTAGATCTGATCCTGTGTTCTGAGTGGGAGTGTGAAATCCGAGTGTTTGCATTAGCCCTGCTCATCTCTGCCTCACAATGAGTCATTATGGGAGATTTCACAGGAGAGCTCAGGGCTTTTGTCTGGGGAAAAATGGTTTGGAGATGATCGCTTTATCACGCTTTCCAAAGACCTATTACATTTAAAGTCAACGCGAACAATATGAGACAGCCATGTTGGTTTTTAATCAACGTTTAGAGACACTTTACCTGCACATGTATTTATGGTTATGCTTAAAGATGCATAGATTAGTCCCTGAATGGCTAATAGGACACTTAAGAGGCCTATCACCATCAAATCTCTGAACCAACTCCACTTTGCCCTTAACTTAAATTAAATTTGATAAAACCAAGTCAATAATGTCTCTGTGGAATTAGCAGGAGGAAGAGTCAATATGAAATCTATAGACTACTTAAGCACTCACAGGAACAGAGTGTGTTGAATTATGGGAAATGTGGCTCGGACAGGAAGTATTCCATCAGAGAGGAGGGTTTGACAGTATAATAATATTCAGAAAGAGGACAATGCATGGACGGATCCTCACTATAAGACAAAATCAGTGGTTAAATGACTTAAAAAGGGGCTCAACTTAAGGTGCTACTGTGGCAATAATTGTTTTATTCTCCGGTCTTTAGTGGTTTTGTTCTGATGAATCTGTTCCCTTTGAACCCAGTAGATTTGTGCAACTAAAACAGAACAAAATTGAATTTTTTTTTACTTCAGTTGGTTTAGATTACAGTTAACTCTCTTTAGTCCAATGCCCTCTTGTTGCCTATTTGTAACTCACAATATGCAAAAGATAAAAAAAATTCTAATACTATAATATGTTACTTGACTTTTTCTGATGGGACCAACTAAATTATTATTATTATTTAAGAAAAAAATTTGATTTGAGTTTCTTGAATTAAAATCTTGTTCTGCCTCTTGTGACAGTGATGAACTTGGACCGTATAGAGAACCTCACCCACGTGCGGCGCCGCTTCCCCCGTTACCACACCTCCCTATTCCGGGGCCAGACGCTGTGGGACCCCTACACCCACGTGATACTGCCCCCTGCTGCCCTGGTGCCACAACGCCATCACACACACAGCTGGAGGGAGAGGGAGCGTGCAGACAAAGAAGGTGACTGGTGCATTTGAATTTAGGAACAATGGTTTATATGAGCAGTGTGGGGAAGTTTTTGTCTTGTTTTATTTTGAAGTTTTGATCAACTACCATTTATGAATTATATTCTTGTTGTCTCCTCTTTAAAAATACTATAAATACTAAAAAACAAACTCTATTTTTGGTGCTTATGGCTGAAAACATTGCATCCAGCTAGTCTTCCTGGATCCATTAATTTAAAATCCATTCAGGAATTAATCATGGAGCAAAAGCCAAAAAACAGTTATATGTGCTACTACAAAACAGCATTTCCCAACACTCCACACTGATCTTTTTGTGTAGCGGTGGAATGATTCACATGTAGTCGTCGCAGGATTCTTGACTTACCTTTCTGTTTCCAGTCTTACCCTTGACCCCTCCAAACCCTGGCCCCGCCCCTTCCAGTGCCTCCACCAATCAGACACGAGAATACAGCAGCTCGGCCCGTCGCTCCGCGTCTCTGTCCGAGCCTCCGTTCACCATCGTCATCCTGCTCATATACAAGAGTCTGGGAGCCGCTCTGCCTCCAAAGTACCACGCCGACAGGAGGGGCGTCAGGTTCGATGGCTATTACACGTTTTGTTCGGGTTTAGTAATTCAATTGAGTATGTTTTTTATAGCATAGTTCATACACGAGACAATTCAAAGTGCTTTAAAAATTAGAAAGGGTACCATACTCCATTAAAGTTATTATTTAGTTTGATTAATTCCAAATTGAGCGGATATGAATATATACGTACTGTATATTTGACATTCCCTGGCGTTCCTCAGGTTGCCGCGACACCCGGTCATGAACTCCCCGGTGGTCACTGTGTCGGTCTTCAACAACCAGTCGTTTGTGAGCGGACACCTGGAGCAGCCGGTGGTGCTGGAGTTCAAGCTCCTGGAGACCGCCAACCGCAGCAAGCCCCTGTGTGTGCAGTGGAACCACAGCGAGTGAGTGCAACTGTCAGGCTGGCTTCTCTTTCAACTTACATACAACAACTTACCATGTGAACTATATGACAATACTGAAAACAATACTTTTTTCTTGTTTGCAGTCAAAACATGTCGTTACTTTAGTTTAGTTTATTATGGGTTTCTATGGACAATTAACAACTAAAATAACCCTTTAATATCCATAGATATGATAGACTAATATAGAGACAAAAACGGTCGTAAGATGAGACATTGATGATGTCTCATGATGACATTTTTAATGTTTTTAATATATCTTGTGCTCTTAATGTGTTTGATTTATGCATGATGTGATAGGGGATGTGAAGCGCTTTGCGTTGCCTTGTGTAGGAAAGGCGCTCTACAAATAAACGTTGATGGATTGATTGATTGATGAGGTTTGACCCTTATTAACATATCAAACATACCATATAACCTTATTAACAAAATCAAAATTTGACTCCTATTATGTAGCATAAAACCTTGTATTGCTGTAAAAAGTACTATTAGTTTGTGTTGCTGATCTTAGAGTCCAATAAAAAGCACTTTAAAATCCTCACTATTCATTAGTATCCACATGGAGTTGTTATGTTGTTATCGTGACAGTAAAGTGGGCTGAACTAATGTAATTGTTCCTCAGGTCGGACTCAGGGGGCTGCTGGACGGTGAGGGACTGTGTGGTGGTCTACAGGAACACGTCACATGTCCGCTGCCAGTGCCATCGACTCGGCACGTTTGGAGTTCTCATGGACAGCTCCCATCGAGAGGTCAGCTTTTTGTAACTATAGGTTCAGATTGAGGCGAAAAGTAATGCTATATATAGTATTTTTATTAAGAAATTTGCAGAATGGCAGATTTGTGCACAAATCAAGGTCAGTCATCTATACATTCAACTAAACTTAAAAATGTCCTGACAAACATTTAGGGCTCACTTGTAGTAGATTTAACTTGGTTGAAAAGTTAACGTGGAACAGATACTCTAGAGTACCAAATGCTCTAATTACTTTAATACAGTACCTAATAATAAAAGTAAAACATTTGTGGACAAATCAGACCACATCATACTGTCTTCATCTTATTAGAGGCCCTGTCACAATTTGACACTTGTGTGTCTGAAAAAGCAGATTTGAACCAGTTAGATTTTATTACATGCATCTTTCTATTTTTTGGTCTAAAATTTAGTATAATGTTCTTTGAACTCATTCTGCCTCTATAAAAAGTAACAAAACAATCTCTATGAAGAAAGTATTTCAGTTATTTTCAATAAATAACTATCAGAATCATCTATTTTGGTACCCCAGCTTTAAGTGCAATTGTCTAATACAAGCAAAGAATTATTGCTATAGGACTTTTCACATCAAAGGAACACTCAAAAGGGCAGCCTGTTGCCTTTTCCTCTTGTCGACCAGATCACAGGAACATTTGAATGAACTGTGTACATGTTTCCTTCTCCGGAGCAGCAGTTGGAGGGAGACCTGGAGATCTTGGCTATGGTCTCGTACTCGTCGCTCTGCCTGTCCATGCTGTGTCTGCTGATGACCGTTCTGGCGCTGTCCTGTCTGCGCCTCAAGTCCAACACCCGGAGCATCCACTGCAACACCGCGGCCGCCATGCTCCTCTCCGAGCTCGTCTTTCTGCTCGGGGTCAACCAGACCGAGCAGCAGGTGAAAAGAAGCGACAAATTATCACAGGGAATTCAGTGCTACACATTTACACAAGTTATGATGTAACATAGTGCACTTAGGCAAGGCAAGACAAGTTTATTTGTTTATTTAAGTTCACAAGGTAACTCAAAGTGCTTAATTGTAGGAACAATACAAAGCATAAATAATGACTACATTACAAAGAGTGAAGATAAAATCCCCAAAAATGGAACAAAAAAAGGAAAGACAGGACAGAACTTCTCCATCCTTTATTTTAATTGTTGGTGTTCGTTGTGATGCGGCTAAAAAAGGACCCAAAATGACTGCCAAATTAAAATACAATTCACTGTATTGAAAGAAAATGTGTCAAAATTATCACAAATAATCCAGAGAAAGCACAAGGTGGAAACAAAATGTGTGTCTCACAATAGACTGACAGCAAGAGGAGAGGGGCACAGGGGAATTACCATTGACTGTATATTGATGGACGATGCTAACCCCCGTAGATCAATGAAGCCCTATACGGCGACAATTGAACGCCAGTTTATGCAAAATGTTGTTTTATTTTAACAAAACGGAGCATAAGCTACAGTTAGATTAACAAACCCCCCTGTTCAAATGCCATTAGAGCTAACTTCCAAACGTAAATGCAATGAGTTTGCTAATTTTTTCAATGACAAGGTTCAAGGCATCAAAAACGCCATTGTCTCCAATCCACAGATAACCATCCAACAGCCAGAAAGTGAAACTCACTTTGCACCTGTAAATGATCAAACTGTCCAAGAGATAATCTCCAGTCTGAGCTCCTCCACATGCAGCCTGGATGTACTACCCACTAGATGTCTGTTCTGAGCAGCCTGTTACCTTCACTCACACAGATAGTAAACATGTCCCTTCATTCTGGAATATTCCCAAAGGCCCTGAAAACTGCAGTCATCAGGCCCCTGCTAAAAAAGAGCAGTCTAGATGCTACGGTACTTAACAACTATCGTCCCATCTCAAATCTGCCATTTATGGGGAAAGTCCTTGAGAAAGTTGTCTACCTACAGCTTACTAGATTTCTTATAATCAACAACTCATTTGATATGTTTCAGTCTGGCTTTAGACCCCACCACAGCACTGAGACTGCTCTCGTTAAGGTTACAAACGATATCCGGCTGAACACTGACGCAGGCAAAGTCTCGATCTTAATCTTGTTAGATCTAAGTGCTACCTTTGACACCGTCGACCATGAGATCCTCTTACAGAGACTAGAGAACTGGGTTGGCGTCGCTGGCACGCCCCTGGCACGTCGCTGGCACGCCCCTTACTTACTTAAAGTACTTTGTGGAGATTGGAAACTGTGTCTCAGATCATATGGCCCTGACCTGTGGAGTACCACAGGGGTCGATCCTGGGACCTCTTCTGTTCAATCTCTACATGCTGCCGTTAGGTCAGTTAATACGCAGAAACAAAGTGTCCTATCACAACTATGCAGACGACACTCAGATCTATGTCTCACTGACTGCAGGAGAACATGGACCAGTGGACTCACTCCTTCACTGTATCCAACAGATTAGTGAGTGGATGCAAAACAACTTCCTTCAGCTAAACGCAGACAAAACTGAAATGATTGTCTTTGGTCCCCAGAAACAAAGAGAGAGCGTCATCTGTCACCTACAGTCTCTCTCCCTAAAACCTTCAAACAAGGTCAGAAATCTAGGGGTAATACTGGACTCAGACTTAAATTTTAATAGCCACATTAAATCAGTAACATCAGCAGCTTTTTACCATCTAAAAAACATTGCCAGGATCAAAAACATAGTGTCTAAAGCAGACTTGGAGATTCTTATCCATGCATTTGTCTCCAGTAGGTTAGACTACTGCAATGGCCTGCTCACAGGTCTGTCCAAACAGGCTGTAAAACAGCTGCAGTACATTCAAAATGCAGCAGCTCGAGTCCTGACTAGAACCAGGAAGTACGACCACATTAGTCCAGTTCTCAGGTCCCTGCACTGGCTTCCTGTGGCTCAGAGAATAGACTTTAAAACAGCTCTGCTTGTGTACAAGCCTCGCACCAAAATATATTAGTGACATGTTAGTCCCATATGAACCAGCCCGGACTCTGAGAAGCACAGGGACTGGACTCCTGTTAGTGCCCAGAGTCAGAACTAAACATGGGGAGGCTGCTTTTCAGATTCATGCTGCTAAAATCTGGAACAGTCTTCCTGAAGATGTGAGACAGGCCTCCTCTCTGACAATGTTTAAAACCAGGTTAAAGACAGTTCTGTTTAGCTGTGGATACAACTGAGGGATTTTATATTTTTATCTTTCTTTTTAATGTTCTGTGATTATTTATTTTAATGCTTTCTTGTTTTGTTCAGCACTTTGAGTTGCCTTGTGTATGAATTGTGCTATATAAATAAACTTGCCTTGCCTTGCCTTACAGTTATACAGTCAAAACAAAGCAAAAGTTTAGCTATTAAGTTGGTAATGTGTGTTGTTCTATTGAAGAATTACAGAATATAGAATTCTTCTGGCACAAAGCCCTTCATCTAGGTCTGGCATGCGCCTCCTGTACTGGCGACCCCGCTCCCATCTTTGTGTGGAGTGAGTGGACAAATGCCCAAAAATAATAACAATTGTAAACCGCTTTGTGACTCTGGTCTGTGAAAGGCGGTATGTAAATAAAGATTACTTACTACTACTTACTAATCATAAAACTCAAATATTTCAAAAGTGAAATCATTGCAACACTCTTGAAATTCAATCACTACAGAAATCATGCAATAAATCAATTAAACATTCATCATTGGCATGTAACTTGAATTAGTAATAAGTCAGCTTTTTTAAAAGCACTAGCATTAAAGAGAAAAATGTGTCACAATTACTATTTTAGACATTTTACAGTCAAGTCAACTATATGATATTTAATTGGTCCTAAATGTGGTGGTAGCAGTTACAGTAACAGTAGCAGTTGTCGTTGCAATACAGAGATCTTTTTGGATCTTTTTGCTTCATTCGGCTGCTTGTGAGCATTATGTCTTTCGTCTCCAGTTCCTGTGCACAGTGGTGGCTATCTTGCTGCATTACTTCTTCATGTCGATGTTTGCCTGGATGTTTGTGGAGGGCCTTCACATTTACCGAATGCAAACTGAGCAGCGAAACATCAACTATGGAGCCATGAGGTTCTACTACGCCATCGGCTGGGGAGTGCCCGCTATAATCACAGGTATGGGACTCTTGTGCGTTGCAGATTGCAGGAGAATAGATTGTCCCTAGAGTTTTAACACATGGAGATTGCCTTGGATAAAAATATGTTTAAGAAGGGTATAATGCCAAAAAACTCCCCTATGCAAAGATGATACAGAGAAATTCTCCAATATTAACATTGACACAATTGTCTAGTTCTTGATGAGTGTTTGGCTTATTAGGATTTAGATTTAAACGCCATAGCTTAGAACCCCAGTGCTAAAAACTGGAAAAACACTGATGTCTCTTCTCTGCATGTAGATTAGGAAAGGGTTTACAACTATATAAACATCTTCTTTATCCAACCTCCTTCCAAACCATATTCTGTACATATACCAGGCATACTTCTCCAGTATGTCTGGTATATCCTCGGTTCTAGTACAGACCTGTCTGTTCAATACCTCATGACGTTTGTGTCTCACAGGTCTGTCTGTGGGGCTGGACCCTGAGGGCTATGGAAACCCAGACTTCTGCTGGGTTTCCATCGATGACAAACTCATCTGGAGCTTTGCTGGACCCATCGCCATTGTCATCCTGGTAAACACAACAAATATTATGAGATAAATTATATTATGAGATTATGTGATATGAGTGCAGTTATGTTTTAGTCTCTCTGGATCTAAGTGTCTCATTTTCATTGATCCACTCACCGAATGTGCAGTTGCTTCAGGACATGTCCAGTTCAATCTGATTCTGAGTCTGATTCTCTCTTATTGTTCTGTGCCTGGATTGTCCAGATGAATGGAGCCATCTTCATGATAGTAGCCAAGATGTCCTGCAACTCCACTCAGAAAGAAACCAAGAAATTACCAGTCATGTGAGTATATTCCTACAATAGCACAAAAAAAGACATTTGTAACAGATTATTTGACATCATGACCTAAAATATGACAAGTACACATAGTTTAGGTCAGCTGCAGAAGACTTGTTTAAGCCTGGGACTGTTCAAAAATGTACAATAAATAACACATTTCAATGTCTGACCAAGGACTTTTTCATTGTCCAAAAGTTAAAAGATTTACAGACTATAACAATGAGGACATATTTAGTATTAAGAGAGGGAAAGCCTCTACCTGTACAGTCAGTTTGCATGTTGGTGTAAAATTTTACATTTTTCTTCATTCAGAGCAACAATTCGCAGTTCTTTCCTGCTGATGCTCGTCGCCTCCTCTTCTTGGTTCTGTGGGCTGGTGGCTGTCAACAACAGTATCTTGGCTTTCTACTACATTTTCAACATACTCTGCCTTTTACAGGTAACTAATACATTTAAAACTCTATAAACATCTATAACTCTATAAACTAATACATTTAAAATCTCATTCCATCCATAATGCTTCTTTAGATAATGATTTTATGCTGGTGAAACTTTTCTGTAATTCAATTTACAGCGTGTAACTAGTCCATGACAGATTTATTGCATGCAAAGTGAGATGTATCAATATTTGTTATAATGTTGAGAATTGGCTCACACCTTGTAAAAACCCAAATCATCATAGAAAATCAGAATATTGTGTAAATTGACTGTATCGTCAAAATAATAACATACAGAGGCTTGACATATGTCGCTTTGCATGGAGTCTGTAGTTTAGATTTACAGAAATAGATGAATTTTTAAATGATATCATTATTCACCTTAACCTACCTAGGGCTGAGCGATTTGGCAAAAAAGTAAAATCTCGATGTTATGCCCTGCTTTGGACAATTTCGATTTTGAATTGATTTTCATTAAAGTCACCAAAAGTCAGACTTTGCCCTTAAAACTATTTTTTGATCTTACCACTCAATATTAAAGTTTCAAAACTATTTTTTATTTGTTTCCCCTAATACGTATTATAAAAGTCTTGTACAGACTGTGCTGATAAATATAAGTATAATTCATGTGCTGCTGGAACTCTCACAATATCCTTCATTCGATTTCACGATTTTCAAATTTTTCACAAATTCAATTTTTTCAAAAGCCGATTAATTGCCTAAATTCGATTTATTGCCCAGCCCTAGTTTAACCTGTATAAATATTTATAAACCTGGTTTAGAAGGCAGTCTATATACCTGTTCAGAATACATGCAAACCCAGCAGACCACAATTATTTTGCTGATCAAGGTATCTAGCAATCATTATTTTGATTCATGAATTAGTTATTTAAAATGACTAAAAGTTTTTCATCCTGATTTAGTGTTGTCTCATTTTCAGATTGTAGGTTTAACTTGATCTGTGCTGTTATTCCAGGGCGTCTGTGTCCTCCTTGTCTTCACGGTTTTTAACACAGAGGTGCAAGAGGCCTGGAGAGCCATGTGTTTGGGGAAGAAGAGCCCAGGAGAGGAGCCACCCAGACCGACTCAAAATGCTGTGAGAACCTCCTCATGTGGTCCTTCTTATGTGTCATTATGAGGTTTTTCTTTTTAAATTCTCAACATTGTTTTCCAATCTAACCTAGTAAATAGACAAAAGGTGAAAATGCTATGTTCATGATTTTCTCAAGGTGCCTTGGGAATCTCTTTTCCTGATTCTGGGTTAAAACAACAGTGTCTCTATCTCTATTAATATCCTCACTGGATGGGGCGATCTGGGGAGACAGCCGGGTTAAAAGCATAAGTTTCTCTGCGTACAGTCAGTGAAGGGTTAGCATTAGCCTCAGGAAAAAAGTGCTTGTTAGAAGTAAGAAAAGGCTATACAGAAACGCCTGAATGAGTTTTAAAGCAAAGAGGTGGGCTCTTGTTAAAATATAGGTCATGGAGAAGGCCCTCAAGGCTAAATTGAGACATGTTATGGACCGGGGGACAAGCAAGAGAGGAAGCATCTATATGTACCTGTGGAATTGGTTGGAATTGCTTATATACAGTGAGGAAGCCTACTTATGAAGATACATTTTTCTCAAGCTTTTCAGATTTACAAGAAGAATGAGGATGATCAAAGTCACCATGTCTGTACTAAATCTGCATTAATAAAACAGGAAATACTGGAAATGTGTTCGAATTGTACTTTGTTTGTAACAGCTCTTACAATCACTTCTGTTCTCTTAGACCCAGAACCCGTATCAAAACGCGTCTCTCCTGGAGCAGAGTGGACTTCACAGGATTACCTTAGGAACCTCCACCGTCTCCTCTGTCAGCTCTGCCAGGTGCAGTTTAAAAAAATAATAACAATAAACAAAATGACTTTTGTGTTGCATTTAAATTCAGGATTCATGTTGCGTTCATGATGGACACTAACTTTTGTGCGTTACTCATTCATTTCACACACAGCCACAGCTGCCCTTGGGTAACTGTTAGAAAAAAGTCTGGCTATCTTTGTTATATTTTCATCCAACCACCACCAGTCTTTCATGCACACACCAGAATTGGCATACAACTTGAGACCCCGGGGAGACTGTCTCTCAGCTGGCCTGGGAACGCCTGGGGTCCATCTGGATGAGCTGGAGGAAGTGTGTGTGGATAGGGGAGTCTGGGCGTCTCTGCTTAGACTGCTGCCCCCACGACCCGGCAACGGATGAAGCAGAAAAAAATTGAATGGAATGGGTTATATTTTGTGGATTCAAAATCCTTAGATGTGACCTGTAACAGAGCCTGAAATCACTGTCTGGTTTTCTCCTCTTGTCTAAAGCCTTGAAAAGAGTTTAGGTTGAGTTCAGTGTAAGTCACCATGGTAACAGATTCCACACAGAGAAACACCCATAGATACTCTCTGCATTCATTTCAGATAGCATTAAGATAGTAATATGTTTACATAAAAACTAAAGTTGCTGGAGGCAGTGGGGCTCGTTCTTTCTGTCTTCGGTGCATTTGAAGTTCAGTGGGTCAGGAAGCTGCAGCTGAGAATAATTTGAAAAAGCCCTGGACATATTCAGAGAAACACTAATATCCCTCAAGTAGACAATCATAAGGACTAAATTAAAAGTCATTAATATGTTTACTTTATTGTGTTGTACAGAGAAAACCTCCTGGCACGACAAACCATGGACCAAACCATTGGCCACACAGGAGCTACCGACCTAGACGTGGCCATGTTTCACCGAGATGGAGGTAAGACTCAGCAAAGTACCTATGATGGGGTCAGTTAGTCTGTTAACAACTTTGATCTGACTTGGAGATGTCAAATAGAGAAATGAAGGGAGGGCTGATGCAGAGTCCCAAAAAGATTTTTTTTGTATGAAGACAAGGTGCAAGTAGCTGAAATGTATAGAGACAGTGAATAGCTTTTTGCACCATGTGATAATAATGATAAGGATTCATTTATAAAATCAATGAAATAAATATATCATGATGAAATGTTGGTGCCATTTGACCCTGTGAGGAGCACAGGGACTCAGGACTAAATATGGAAAGTGTCTGTGATGTAAGCAGCTCAAATCATCAGCAGTCTTCCTGCAAATACCAGCGGCTCTCAATGTTTTCATCCACGGCTTAGTGTCCCCTGAAGGAACCGCCCCACACTTTGAGAACCACAAATCTATACAAACATACTCCCCTTACATTCCCTTTGATAACATATCGGTGTACACTGAGTGGAAAATTTCAAAAGCCAGATCACTTTGTAACCATAGAAACGTGTTTGCTCAGGTGAGGATTCAGACTCGGACTCAGACCTCTCCATGGATGAAGACCACAGCCTGTCTATTCCATCCTCAGAGAGTGATGACAATGTCAGACTGAGGGGGCGAATTCAAAGGAGATTTAAAAGGACCAATCAGGGAGAGCGACTTCTCACTGAGCCCACCCACAACGGCACCAAAGGTAAAACCTGTCTATTGAGTTCTTACACTTGTTTATGTCACAGCCGAACCATCCACTTTTGTGCAATCAATCACTGTAGTAGACGTAAATTTATAATTTTTGCCTACTGTGTTATTTCTAGATGTATGGTTTATTCACAACACAAATTAAATTGTAGAATAAAAATACCTAACATTTTTTGAAAACCTGCTGGATTGAATGAGTGTAGATTGTCCATGCTCACACTGCCCCCTGGTGGCATTACATATAGCTAATGTAGATGCAGATGCAAGAGTGTAATGTGATGAAATGAGACTTTGATGCAGTTTATATTGAGGTCTTTCAAAGATATCAGAAAGACATCTAACTAATGAAATTTCTTTCAAGTTAACATTAAATTTGATTTTAATGTGTGTCTACGGACAACTAAACAGACACTTGTTTCTTTATAATGTACATGCAAAAACAGTAGGGAAGTACGAAGCACTGAAAACAATTTAATTAGGGATTCAAATATTTCATTTTCAGTTAATATTTGACATTAAATACATTTGTACTTGTTGATGTTGGCTCTTCCTATTGTTGTGAAGCAGAATTCACCAAGCGTTGTTCACCCACTAACAGGGAACATGAGCTGGGTTTGAACTGACGGGAGGTTACTACTGATAAGCCTTGAATAAAAATCTGCATACTGTTAGTAGTAGTGGTAGAAGCAGTTTATTTTCCTCTGCCAATATATACATTACATCTCAGGTCACATGTTTTCAAAGATTTTATATACAATTTACAATAAGAGAAAAATAAAGAATTAAAATGTGTCTATTAAGAATTTTAGTGCGAAAAATACATTACAATACAAAACATACGTAAGGATTCTTCTTGTGTAGATTCATGTAGATTCTATATTATGACATATATATTAAAATGCAGAAGAGCCAGATAGAGCAGACTGCGCATCAGGTCACTGTACAATGGATGGTCCTATCTCACCTCACAGAAGCAAGGATGCAGAAGTGAATCTATGAAGATGGAGTGTGTTGTTTATGTGGATTATTCAAGTAAATTACCTTTGCCTCCTGTGAGAAATAGACAAGAGCATATATGCCTTTCACTTTTCTGATGCCACTTCTGGTCTTCTATGAGTGTTTTTTTCACTTGTCCTTCCAAAAAAAAAATCCTGCCCCCTCAGATTGGGCAGAGATCCAAACAGAGATCCAGGACACTTTACGAAAGATTAGCAAAAATTGTAATTAACACAATGGTGAACATAAACTGACCGGCTAAAGTCTACACACACTTCTAGAAGGATATACTGCATTTCAGACAGTGCCAATAAATCAGTTTGGTGATCGATACTGGGCTCACGCTGCATATACGGCGCATTCCGCTTGGTTGGATTCAAAGAGCGTATGTTTTGACTGACAGATGACCCTGACAGACCACTCTTATGGCTGTAATTTGTTATGGACGATGCGGCGCTGCATTGATTTGTTAAGTCAATGTACGTGTTTTCTAGTTCATTGTCCACATTTAGTCCAAATTACTTTTCTGTTTTGTGTTATTTGATCCAGTGTTTCTCAAACTATGGTAACCGAGCTCCCTCTGATGGTACATGGATTCCTCTGCAGTTTTCTTAATATAAAGTCATTTATCCAACAGTTTTACTATAGGGAGCATAGTTGTATATTTCTAATTTAAACTTGTTTTAGACTTGGTTCATGGATGATGGTGCTTTGAAGGCCATGTACGGAGGTATTTTGTGTGAAAATTAATAGAAGCACTCTTACAAACTGTTCATTCAATCGCCACAAGGAGCCAGCAACGTAACCATGAAATCAATAAACTACTTTTTAAACAGAACTTAGGGATTAGTGGAGATACTTTTTCTTTCTTTAGACCAAGTTTATTCTTGGTTTTCCGTGGTCCATGTCTGTCTTTCGTCCTGGTTCACATTTGGTCTAGTCCTGGTTCAGTCTTCAGCCTTTTCACGTCATCCAGTCGTCATCATCATCATCATCATCATGAAGTCCAGCCAAGTCCTAAGCCCTGGTTTTGTTATAGACCTGGATGGGAACGACCTGCTCTCCTATTGGCCAGCGCTGGAGCAGACAGACTCCATGCAGCGCCCTTTGGGATCAGACGCAGCAAACAACAACATGGAGGCTGCTTTAACCAGCGGAGACGAGAGCTCGACGCAAGGACACAGGCATCGAAAAGGTCTGGACCCATCAAGACCATACACAAACTGGGAAACCATTTTTTTCTGTCGTGTACAAATCGAAGCTTGAAAAGGATAGACAACATGAGATAAATGATGAACAACTACAGTTTTTTGTTTTTTAAAAAGATTATCTGTTCCTGTGGCTTTAGTGGACAGGTTATCAGTAGCATTAATGGTGGAGACAGCAGGCGTGACCTCATGAAAGTTGTGCAACCTCTTAATGGCCTTAAAATACTATTCAACCATTGATTTTTCATCTCTGCAGAATCATCGCTCACAAATGTTCCCAAATATTTGTTGCCCAGGACTAAACTAAGACAAAACAGGACTAAAAATGATCTGAACAGGAATAAATGGGGGCCAGGTACTACAGAGAAATAGAGAAATACAATTGCAAAGGAATCTGAGTGCCACACATCAGTGGTACATGTATCACGGTTTGAGAAGCACTGCTTGAGTGGAGAGGAGGAGCTGGAGCTGTAACTATGTTGTGAATATGATTTATTTTGTAGGCTGCGCTTCTCTGATGGTGACAAACAAGAAATAACAGGGGATATCATTGTCATATTGTTATTTATCTTTGTTAGATTTGCTTAAATTTGTTCCATAGCGGAGCCCAGAACCTTCTTGCTGTATGGATATGCTGTGTGCTAGTACTTGAGACTATCCTTTACCCTTCATATTATCTAGAACTGGCAAATTAATAGTGCCTAAAAGTCTAAGTCAATGTCAATTTTATTTATGTAGTACATTAGCAACAACACCAGCTGACCAAAGTGATAAAGCAGCCCGCAAATTCATGTAAAACAGTGTTAAAAGCCAAGGCATACAATTTTTAGGCTGGATTTTAAAATCTCCAATGAGAGAGCCGCTTGTATCACATTAAACAAAAATCTAGACTCTAAATACAGTGATTTACCATACATACATATTTTATAATCCTTAAACCAAAACCCCTTCCCTTATTGATTTTTTTGGTTTAATTTCTCCATACAATTTTCGGTGTTGTTTTCTTCCGTCCTGCTGTGTACCATGTTCTTGGTTTCTTGTAAAAGCTGTCGCCTGCCTTCATAGACCACCTCCATCGTTCTGAACAATAACCTTAGATATAGACCCACCTTATTTCCCTGAGGATGTTGCTGAAGGGAGCTTTTAATCACCATGTTCCTCTGGCAAACTCCAAGGCTCTGGACAAATATAAAGCGGCACAAAGGGCCTTGTCTCGTAAAAAAAACAATCTAATTATCACAAGTGTTATCAGCACAGTTTAATCAACCGCCTTAAAATACAGCAAGTAAGTGATTGGGTGTACAGACTTTTGTACAGACATTTCACTTCACGAACAACATTTACAACATACAAACCTCAGCCACTAACAATTCCTAGGCACAAACATTTCAAAAGACATGTATTTCACTGATAAAGTTATCTGAAATCACTGAGCTTTAGTCCAGGTTGGTCTAGTATGAGTGTTTTTATTCAAAAAACAAAAATACTTTTGCACCCTTGTGTTTTAAATGAGTTGTGACTGAATTTAGAATGTATTTTAATCCCTAACATGCATCAAGTTAAATTAATGTAAGAAACATGCAAAGCCTGTTCCCTTATATGAGGATGTAGTAAATACTATTAATGTACTAATAATCATGTAGCAATTCTTCTACTTTGGCAACTAAGGGGTATACCTGTGGTATACAATTCCAGAAATCTCTGCTTCATAGACTGTAGATAGATGACAATGCCAACCCACAAGCGCAATGAAGTGCTCATGGACAAAGTTTTGGCTCCCATTTGCTTACATTAAAAGGTAAACTCTTCAAGCTCTGTAACCATTTAGGTCTGAAGAAATCCTATACGATTCTGGTGTTTGTATTTTGATATTGTCTTTGTAAATCCTGATATGAGCCATAACGATTGACCAATCAGATGCCTTCGCTGCGATGAACTCCAGTTTTCCTTATCGGCTCTGTGGCCTAAACTCTACTAACACCAAGTTGGCTCTCCACAGGGATCTTGAAGAACCGCTTGGGATGTCCTCCCGCTCTTCAGGGTCTGTCGTCAATGGGCCGCGTCCCGAGCGAGCTGAACTGGTACCGCACCTCCACTCTGGGGCACCGTGGCGTTCCGGCAGCCTCTTACGGCCGCATGTACTCCGCAGCCACGGCAAACGCAGCCAATGCCACCAACACCGGCTCCCTATCCCAACCGGCCTCGCGCTACTCTTCTCGCGAGCACTTGGACTCCCTGGCTCGAAGACAGCTGTCCAGGGACCCTTTAGGACGCCAAACTGTTGGGGGATCACGGGACAGACTGGACTCGCGAGGGTCCAGGGACAATTTGGATCTGCTTCCCCGAAGGCGTGATCTCAACTTGGGCCACAACACTTTGGGAAGCCTGGGGTTGGAAAGATCCTCACGGGAGAATTTGTCTGCCTCCCGGGACAGAATAGACAACCACCACGCATCCAGAGAGGACTTGGGGGTGGACGGGTACCTGGGCGGGTTAAGTCGGAGGCACACTGCGTCCCGGGAGCATCTAGGGGGCGCTGTGACGAGCAGCCGGTCCAGAGAGGGGCTGGACCAGAGTAGGGAGTGGCTTAGGACGCTACCCCCCAGACAGACATCACACCCAGAGCCCCCGCTGTCCGCCTCACCCCCGCCACCTATCACAGAAGAGCAGGACCAGCCACCACCACCATGTGAGTACAGCAGATAATACACAAGACATATTTTACTATTGACTTAAATCTGAAGTTCCTGACTGTCAAACCACAACAATATAACTATGTCATAAAATGTTTCTACTCAAAAATATTTTTCACATGAACGTATTTTGGCCTAAGTCACATCTTTAGATAAACGTTTTCAGATAGGTGTTTTATAATGATGAAGATGAAGTGTTGTGGTCTGATTTGTTCTTAACGTTTACTTTTAGAGGACTCACTTCATGTGTTATTTATGCACAAACAAAAGTGATGTACCCTAGCTTTAAAGAAGACATTTGATCTGCTTTATTGTCTGCAACACCTGTGGATCTTTATTACAGTAATAAGAAAAGATAAACTTTATTGATCTCTAATATTAGAATTCTAAATAGAGATGTAACAGTGCATCAGCCTCACAACACATCATAGAGTGTAAATTATTGTTGGTAATGAATACGTTTCCATGAACTGGAACGGGGCAAATATAAACCTAAAGAATGATTTAATGTTGTTCCTCATCGTTGCATAATTTACACACTTTACCTCTCCCAGTTGCGGTTTACAGTCCTTGCCTTAACCCATTAAACACCTTGTCACCTCCCAGGCCCCTCCCTGGATATCCTCTCCTCCATCTTGGCCTCGTTTGGCTCCACTGTCCTCCCTTCTGACACCAACAGTGTGTCTGAGCTCTATCCCCATCCGGAGTAAGTCCAGTGTCCCCTGCACTCTGTCTGCAGTAGTCCCTCCGCCCCTGGAGTAGAAACGCTGTCTCCTCTTTGGATGCTTAACTTTCCAGCTTTTGTTTTTCTAGATACATATCAGTAGTTTGTAGTCACTGTCCTCTGTCATTCTTTTCTACAAAAAACAAAACGTTCATATGTGATAAAAGTAGAAAGAGTAATGTAACACAGGTAATGTTCATTAAATCATCGCATCCGTCTTGGTGTTCTGTTTTTCTTTCATTAGTTTATAGATACTTTTGCTTAAAGTTGCAGTGTGAAAGCAGTGTTCTACAGTTAGAAGAAAGTACTCAACAAAAGTCCATAACATGGCCCAGATTGAAGCCTAGAGAAATCATTTATGACAGAGTTGTTGCCTGAGAGTTTTGTCTTTTTAGTATTGATACCCCAACAAATAATGTGTCTTATTGTGTTTCCTTGATTCCAAAAGTTTTATGTTTGCATTGATGGCTCAACAAGCACATTGTTAGGATTGGCAACATTTTATTCAATTATCAGATTAAGTTTAGAGGTAGACCCAGTCAATTTGGTCAAAGGAGACATGCTATAAAGCGTGTGAGGAAAAACTATTGTCCATGAATTTGTTTTGTTATTTTCTCAAGATATATGAAATTGATTACGATTGCATAGCTGTGTTTTCAGCCATAATTTTCAAATTTGTGGAAGAAAAACAAAACACTTTAACTCCTCCCCCTGGTGGTCGCAGCAGGTACAAGCATGTGTTACCCCTTATACTTGTATTACCATATACTGTTCCACATTCTAAAACATTAAAATGACAAAATCAATGCTCTCATTATTATGATTTATAATTGCCAATTGGGGAAGTGAATAAGGGATAAAAAAAGGCCTTTTCAAGGAATGAAGAAAATACAAAAGCCACACACTCAAAGACACACTGCACCTTTAAGCACAGAGTGGATTTGACTTGGTCTTGTTTTCAGTAGTTAGTTTGCCTGAATTTCAGTCTGTTTTAATGTATATTCTTCCTTGTCTTTCAGAGCTCACCGAAGCGATGGGCAGTCCTAGTCTTTTGCCTTTTCCCTTTATCTGTTGGGTAAGAGAGTGGACCTCACAGGGAAAGTCCTGAAGCACTGATGCATTCTGGGAAACCAAGTCCTTAACCAGATCACTTCATCAATAAAGTTATTGGACACATCAACCGGTTACTACCTACAAACTTGATCAGAGCTGAGAGATTTGGAAACAAAGTTGTACATAACATTTTTATACGTTTTTTAACTTTTTCATTGGAGATTGGGGTTTTAAAAAATCTCCTGTGATTACCTTTTTATTTCAGACATGTTGGTGGCTGCGAGTGAAGTGTTAGTCTAATTAAGGAGCGGCAAATGTGTGTTTCTTTTATTATAAAAAATGAGTACATTGAAAATTATGACATTGTTCTCCACCCTTAAGGAAATTTGTCACTGCAGAAGGGAACAGCCAAAGGAGATTGATCATCATGAAATCCACCACGTGATTGTAAATACAGGACCCAACTTCAGATGATCAACGTACAGAGACTAATTACAGATTCTTCAACATTTCCTTTGTTCTTTCATATTTAAAAAATAACTATTTTGCCTCATTGTTGCGCAAATTGTTACAGGAAATTAACTAATTGTTGATTTACTTCATTGCATCAAGTTTGTATATCTGCCGTTTACAAACAATCTAATTACTGTAATTGTCTCTAATGTTATTTAAGTCAGTCCATTATGAACAATGCATCTCACATAATTGATAATATTCATTGAAATAAAAACAGTTCAACAGCTAATCAGAGCGCAAGTATTTCAAATCCGGATCCCGTATCATTTGAATGGTTTACACATAGAACTATACAAATTGGGAGGATCTATTCGACTGTGACGGTCAACTTCGACTTTTCTTATTTCCCGGCTCAAAGCTGCAACAACATATCAGGGGAACTTTTAGCGTTGTTAGACTATACCAGATGTTGTGCTCAGCTAACATAAAACATTATTAACCACACCATAAAGAAAAAAACTGTCATTTTGTTTACAACTGGCTTTAGCCTGGACCTGAAATCTGTCATCACACTTTTAATTAAACAGTTTCTCTGAAATACTTTTCTCATTTTTAATGTTTTGGAATACCCATGTCTGCCAAATCAATGAGAGAGAATGATCAACTGAGAAATTGGGGTGAGGTAAAAAAAAACAGTAAGGAATATACAATATCAAAAGACCTGGTTATGGCCTGTAAATTGTCCTGGGAGTCACGTGACTCTGTATAGAGACAGTTGCGGCCCAGACTCGCTCGTGTCCCTGAAGTTAATGAAGGACTTTTGAATCAGTGTGTCCAGGATCTCTGCACCATCTTTATCGAAATCTAACCATTGGGAATTTCACAACATTCTTTGTAAAATTCTTGAAATTAACCATTTAAATGTGTTTATTCACTTCTACAGTGTTGGGAGTAACTTATTATTAAAGTTATTATTAACTTGTTATAATATATTGCTTTTTAAAATTAATTCAGTAGTTTATTTCTTTACAAAAATAATATATGATGTATTAGACGATAGGATTGGTCCGAGCCCGGTCTATGGTCCAAGCCCGGTCTATTGTCCAAGCCCGGCCTATGGTCCAAGCCCGGCCTATGGTCCAAGCCCGGTCTATGGTCCAAGCCCGGTCTATGGTCCAAGCCCGGTCTATGGTCCAAGCCCGGTCTATGGTCCAAGCCCGGTCTATGGTCCAAGCCCGGTCTATGGTCCAAGCCCGGTCTATTGTCCAAGCCCGGTCTATGGTCCAAGCCCGGTCTATGGTCCAAGCCCGGTCTATTGTCCAAGCCCGGTCTATGGTCCAAACCCGGTTGAGAAAGGAGGAGTGTAGGAATAGCTGTGAAAAAACAGCATCTACAGAAAGGTAAAATTACATTGCTTATTTCAATGAATTGAATAATCACCAGAATTTCAAACTTTAAAAAAGTAAATTCTCAAATGCAACTTCACAGCTAGTAACTGTAATCTAAATACAAGTATTTTCAAAGTAATTCATTACACTACGTAATTTAATACAGCACAGCTTTTTTCCACACAGTGAAACATCAATGAATCAGTGTGATTTGTATTGAGATCTTTTTCCGAACTCAACATTGACATTAGAGTAACTCAACACTACATTGAGTTACGAATATTACGAAATATTGTTTTAAAATTACATTTTCAGTCCTATAACTATTAATATGTTAAATAACTTTAGAGTACTAATCATTTAAACATGCAGTGTGTTGACAGAGGTGAGACAGGCTTTCTGTATTATTAGCGCCACATGAATTTGAGGTGAGAATACCACCCACCTCAAATTCAGTGGAGAGACCCCACATTCTCTCGTAACTTGTTTAGCTTCATGGATATGCACAAAACGCTCAAATCTTGAAGGAAAGATTTGCTTGAAACACATGAATACATACTATATTTTTTGATATTCATAGCTTCTAATCTAGGATTTTACATTGGACATTTGTTTAATTTTTACAGAGATCTACAGAGTACATGGTATTTCCCGCGTAGCGACTAAAGATTTATTTATTTACCATTTGTGCAACATTATTTTATGTATTTAGTCACAGGTATAATCAATGTTGATCTCATTTTAACAAACGTTGGTTTAATTCATTGGGATAAATAATTATTATGGTGCTGTTCCCTGATGCCTCAAAAACAGATTAAAATGTTCCCAAAGAATCTTGTGTTTTCCTTTTAATTCCGTCTGCTATATACGTATTTTTAACTTTTGTATGGGCTTTATGCACAGAGAGGCGTGACGTCATTTCCTGTTAACAAAGATCAGCCCGTTCACTTCCTGCCTATGCTATCCTATGGCTTTAAGGTGAGTTTTAGTGACGTTTTTTAGTAATTAGATTGATACATTCAGCTGTGAGACTGACCCAAAAGTGTCGCTGTGCTTTCTCTCTGAGGAACAGCTTTGACTGTGGCCACTCAGAGAGATTTGTAAACTTTATAAAAACACAATGACAGCACAATCAAAGAGCACTGCTGTGTCCCAAAAATGCCCAGTATCCTCACAGTTTAATTCCCGTTTGAGCATTATTCGGGAAACTTGTGTAAACCACTCCTGAACTCCAGGAAACTCTTATTATAATAGATCCATGAACTCAAGCCGTTTCCTGCGAACCGGAAGTGAAGTGGGGCTTTAGCTAAAACGCGGAAGTGGTGCGTGCATAGAGCCTGTCACGCCTGTTGTGAATTTTTGAAGGCACCCGATCGTTAAATGAATGGGGCTCGTGCCGACTGACGCATGCGCAGATGCGTTTTTTCACAATTTTCTTGTGGGCGGGACCACTTGCGCCCAATTTGGATGGCTTCAGTAGAGCACAATTTCTGGCCCATTTGTTTGAACAGTGGAGAAAGGTGTGACTAAGTCCGTTAATATTTACAGTCTATGGAAAAAACGTCTGTCTGCATGGACGTTCCCAGCATAGTGGCAGACATAACATTGCAGAGGTAGATTTGGTGGAGTCGAGTCATGTGGCTACACCTCTGGTATTTGGTATCTAATACTCAGCTCACACTGTGAACTATGGTCTTGACACTTTGCATGTTTTTCAACCAATTAATAAATCTTTATTTATAAACATGCACACAAAATCATGAAAACCAGAGGTTGAGAGATTGTGTTACAACCCGAAGGACAAAAAAAATTTGAGGACACAGACAGGTTGAGAGTTTAAAATTGGTTTTATTTATTTACTTTTTTTTTAAGTCAACTCTCATCAAAACCCACCCATGTGTCCAGATCGCAAAAAACCCAAAGTAATCAAATTAAAGTTGGACCTGGTGGGCCAGCTAAAACAAACAAAATGGGCCGACATCAAACCAACCCTATACTGGCCCGTCCGGATGCGATGCTAACACCCTACCTAAGAATAAAGAAAACCCAAATAGCTTCCCCCACACCATCAAAAATATAACCACCGGATCCACCAGATTAAACAAAAATAAAGCAAGAAAAAAGGCTACAAACGGCTAAAAATAACCAAACCATGCAGCGTCTGAGAAGGCCGCAAACGGGACCAGGAGGGAGCGGGCAGTGCATGCTCACCTCAGCAGGTGTGAGAGCAGAGAGGGGCGGGAGAGCACCAGGACAGCGCTTCTTTTACTCCCTGCCCAAGCCTATAAAATATACATATAAAAAATAATCTTACTAGAAATTATATAACCCAAAAATACCAGGACAAAAAGACACAAAACCAGGGGCAAAAAGGTGCCCAAACACAGCAGGTCGTCACAGGTGTCAAATACACAGGCCCAGGAAAACAATGCACATTCAAGAAAATGAATATATAAATGGTCAATAATAATCATTTCAATAACAATAACAATAATAATAACAATAATTTCCAGACGGCACAGGGAGTGGATTGTAATTGCATGCTCTGCAAATTCCACATTTATGACAGAAACAATATTATGGTTGAAAAATGAATGCTACCACCCAAGACATCTTTTAACATTCCATTTCACCTTTCCTGAAATCCTTTCAAGTTGCGTACCCTGAACCCCACTAGTTTACAAGGCAATGCTTTTCTCGATTTGAGAGGGGAGCAGGTAGGGGTAGGGCAAAGGGAGTGTCTTATTCCTCTCTATGATTTCTTCCTCGAGATTAGCCAGCTCTGCTTCAAAGTCCTTCATCAACTGCATCACGACCGGCTCGTCGAAACGCTGGTTGGGGAAACAGCCCAAAGGCACCTGCACAATCCAACAACACAGCCCTTTAAATCTTCCAGACAAACCTGCTATGTTTGTCTGGAAGATTTAAAGTGACTTGATGACACTATCATTTAAAAAAAGATTTGTTTGATGACTTGCAAAATCATTCATACCCCTTTAACTTCTCCAAATTTCATCATGTCACAATTCTAAACATAATGAATATCTTTTGTCATAAAACACCTGTGCAGTGCCCGTAAAGCCCATTGGCTGATTACACACTAGATTAGCACTAGCAGCAAGGCCCTTTAGTGTGTCTTTTATTGTATGCACTACTTATAAGAGGCTAATAAATGCTTTTTAAAGGTCAAGATGCATCCTTCAATATTTCATGATAAATAAGTTCACTAACTATTCTGTGTATTTTATAAATAATGTGAATGTTTTTTTCTCAAATTTGCAATTCACTTTTTGTCTCAATTCCCAGCCATAGATAAAATTCACACAGGAGCGTCTGCAAAGTCTATGGGAACGCACGTTTTCAAGTTTCAATTTGATACATAATATGAACCCCTGAATAAAGATTGACTTTTTTGCGCTACTTTGATTCTATATAAAATAGTTTGATGAGAAGGACTTTGCGTTGTTCATAAAGGCTGCAGAGTTTCAAGTGTGTATCAGTTTCAGCTGGGGGTGTGCCATGTGATTGTTTTAAATAAACACTGGGGGAACACTGTTTTATGCCGTGTTCAGAACGCACGCTTTTCGGGCGTCAAAAACGCAGCCAAAGCGCCTTGTTGGACGCTTGTGCTTACTGACGACAGATGCTGTCACCGAGCGTTCTAGACAAGCGTCTAAACAAGTGGGAAGAGCGCGCTTTGTGGAGAGGCTTCTCTGTTGCCGGTGGTTTTTCAACATGGGTGACATCGACAGAGTGGCTTTGCTTTATCTCATAAATAAAGCCAAACAACATCAAATGGCGCATCGGCAACATGTCTGGATTCAGCAGATAGTCCGTAGGCGTTCAGAGTTTGCTCCTAGAGCTGCGCTCGGATGAGAGGTCATTTTTATTTCTGTCACGGTAGCTATAGTCCGCAGGGTTCTATAGCTCTGAATGAGCACAGAAATACAGTCCTGTCGAGAAATGCGTCACTCTTGGGGAAAGATCCTGATTGGTTGACACTCGGAAAATTTTCCATAAAGTTCAACATTTTCAACTCTAGCGTCGGCCACGTTGGAGGCGCGGGGGGCAGCACGGCAAAGGTTTGAAATTTCAAAACACGCAGCATCCGCAGAGTGAAAAGCTGGAGCAGCACCTTTTCCCAGTGGGTCGCCACCCATGTATTTTCAATCTAAACCTGACGCTTTGGAGGCTTTGGCCACGTTTGGTGTGAACTCAGCATTAGGCTACAGTCTCATTAGCTATACTCAAGACACCTTTCTACTCTAAAGAACTCTGGCCTCAAATATAATTGTTCTTGTAATTTCTTGAAACCCTTCATAACATGAATGTGAATAAGCGAGTAAAAATACCAACCAGATCAGAATATTGATAAGACAAGGTCCAGCACATCTGAGCGTTGGTGGCTGTAGACCCAACGTTCGGAAGAGCGTCCAAGACTGTCTGCATGGTGGACTGGCCCTTAGTGGAGGGAGGAGCGCTAACCAGGAGCATACTGACATTAGGAACCCAGAACTGATAGTCGAACTAAAAAACAAAATGATATCTTATTACATACAGATTCCATTAGTTCAGCTTCACAAGTTTATTATTGTACTGGAGTGAGAAAAAAGATGTGTTCCTTTATCTATAAGAAAAATAAAAAAAATGCAGAGAGATCCTTTCCTGGTAAATAACTTCAATGTGAAGGTTTAAACTGCTCATGCACAGGGTTCAAAACAACCACAAATGGTCTTTGAACTTCTGATTGGATCGTTTTCATCAGAATAGGGCATCTATCAAACTGATTCCACACCCACTTTCTGCTGAATTTAGAACAAAAAGGGGTTCGGTAATGCTCAGGCTAGATTCAGGTTCAGATTCATTTATTTGCCATTTGCAGTAAAAGCACATTGGAAAAACTGTGCAATACTACCCCAGTGTGCACCAGACAGAGAAGACGATACACACCAGAGCTCTTGCCACAACGCCATCTTTAAGGCGCCATGCGACAAACAGTAGAATAAACAGCAGAGAGCAGTAACATACATATCACAAGACAGTTTGGATAAGACACATTATGTTTTGGATAAAACACGGACGTTTTTATCCAAACGGCTAGGTGAGGGGGGGGTGAGCAGGAAACACTTAGAGGGAGTGAGGATGGAGGGAGAAGGGGGTGGAGAGGTAGAAGGAGGCGGGGGGAGCGGGATCAGTGCTGGAACTGCAAAGTGGTGTGTATTTTGGAGGAACCAAACTACACACCAGGAGTAGTACATTGTACCAGAGGATTATGTGCAAACCAGTCAAACAGTAAAATCATCACTTCATTGTCTTCAAAGGAGTGATTTGAGGCTTTAAGATGAAGGGGGACTCCAGATTAAAACCTAGCTTAGATGTTCTCCAATGTTGTAGTTGTATGTGAATTGGTTGTTTGATTTCACATGAGCTATAGCACATAATAAAGAGCCCGTTTCATACGAATGCCCAAGAAATGTTTTTATTGATTCCCTTAAGCCTCAGTTAGTTCCTTCTCTGGCACAGAGCTGGAGAAGCCCGCCTCCAGCAAGCAGTGATTGGAAGGAGTGACACTAAAGACTGTTTCCAGAACTACTTAATCAAAGGCTGGTCCTGACCACGGTGGTATTCCTACAAGGACGCTAACAAGGAGCCTAGATCATTTTTTTCTACTGTTAACAAAAGAATTAGGGTCCGATTCTGGCTCTATGTGATGGATCGCCATTGTTGGAAAAAAGTTAATTCACAGGTCTGAAAGTACTGCTATGTATCTCTATGCAAGACATGGCTATAATGTCACAAGCTTTGAGTGTTGAATGGTTGATATTATCATACTGTACATGCAGTAATGTGTATTTAGCGCATTTTACAATGTTCAGAGTTCATGTGCTTGGATGAACTGTGAAACATGAAGAAGAGTGAAATATGGGACCTTTAAAACTGACCTGACAATTGTTGACTGCAGAGTGTTGGGCTGAGGAATTAAAGATTATCATGGTGACGAACTTGACTAGATCCTTCACTGAGCTGAAGCTCTGAGGACAACCTGTAATCAGAGTCTTGAGTGTCAGGCGGTCTGTGGTCCTTGTATTGTACCTGTTATGAAGGACATGACCCACCTGATGCCTTTTCTCCCAGAAAGGCATAAGTGAAAATGTCACTGATCCATTCTTGCAGTTCTGAATCTCTTTGCACATCTGCGTCTGAGGGGTAGTAGTGTTCTATCACTCCCTGAACAAAACTGGCATAAACGGTCGTGTTGGGCTGTTCATGAATAAACGGAGTCTGGTTATTTTATTCTCCAAAGATACTTCTGCCTCTGCTTCCTACCTAGCTTGCCCGTTACAATAACAATATAAATAGCACTGAGAAACATAATATATCTTTTAAAACTAGTTTCACATGCATCTGTTTTTGGACTCATCATTTGGTCACATCTTAAAGTAGCATTATGTAAGATTTTCATGTCAAGTCATCATTAAATGGCCCAAATATGTCAAAAGGCATTAATAAACCATGTTCTGTTCGAATACTTTAACTGATAACTAGTTCAGCCATTTAAATTTGAAAATTTGTTATACAGCCCCTAAATCTTTTTCATTGTTCATATTTTGATGTCCCGCCCTCAACTGTTTTACCAATCAGAAAGTCTGTGATCCGGGATGCTTGCCTGTTCCTTCTGACCGCGGAAGACTCAGTTGACGGCCGTATCTGTTATCAGCGCATCACATACTCGAGTAACCCTGGCCAGGTAACATGCAGAGAATGTGGGCTGAATGGTTACTTCGAAACCAAAAATCACTGTTGACCCCGAAACAACTAGTAGCTCAATGCTCCAACATCCAGAAGCGGAAATTGCTAGATCGATGAGGTACAACCAGTGTTGTGCGTGAACGAGTTCAAAAGAACGCGTTCATTGAACACGCTCATTTTTTCATGAACGTTGAACTGAACGCAACACATTTTTTTAAAAAGAACTTGAACGTGAATTAGTTAATTTTATGTGTCATGAACGGCAGACATCACTATGAACGTTGGAATCTGTTTTCTCTTTTGAAACGCAACGAGAGAAAGTTCCTCCCTCCTGTATTCTCGCACCTTTTCCTCCGAAATCTAAAAATTCCTACGGTTTCCACCGTCTGTGAACGCACCCCGATTCTGTGTTGCGGTGCGGAGCTGTGAGCTGGTGCTTTTCACATGTGCCCGAGTCGTGATGAAAACACAGGGTGAGTTATCGACAAAGTTTACACCGTTTACATTTGACATAAAGTATAGACACACGCACTGCAGCGCATTACTGTCTGTAGTTTATGAGCAGAGATGGGGCAACTCCGTTTGGCTCCCATTGAAAACCATGTAAATCTAGTCTGTTTTGTAGTCAAAAGGCTCTCCTCCTGTGGGTGTACAGGAGATTATATATATATATATATATATATATATATATATATATATATATATATATAGCTCGTAGTGTGAAAAACATATGTATTTAAGTATCTCACGAAAAAAGTAAAATGAACTGAACTTTGAACTAGTTCAGAATTAAAAATGTGAACTTTGAACGTGAACTGTTCACTTTGAGCATGTATGAACTGAACTTGAACTAGTTCAGAAAAGTTGTGAACTGGCACAACACTGGGTACAACACATGCATGATGCCATGGGTGCCACACACGGTTGGTGTTGATGGGGAGTTCCCATCAACACCAACTCTCCAAACAGATAATGGGAACAAAGTCCCAATGGAACTATAACGCTGAATGAGAGCAACTTACCTGAAAACTAAGATCATGGCAAGAATGGGCACAGGGCATAGGCACCGGTTACAGCATTTGTGTGAAGTACCATCTGAGGATCTCATGGAGCCTACGACTCAATGCCACACACATGGATCGTGGAATGCTTGAAGTTGTACATTTTCAACAGGGCTCTAACGGACTTTGTTGAAAACTCAATGGGGATGTGGAAGACCACCCTTGAGGTAAATGGCAAGCCGCTTGCACACGTGACCATCAAATGTGATATATACCAAGGAGATGCTCTGTCCCCACTGCTGTTCTGCATAGGCCTCAACCCTCTAAGCCAAATAAATGACCAGACTGTCTATGGATACCGCTTCAGGAATGGAGTAAAGATGAGTCACCTCCTCTACATGGATGACATAAAGCTGTACACCAAGAGCGAGAGAGACATCGACTCTCTGATCCAAACCACCAGGATCTACAGCCATGACATCGGGATGTCATTCGGACTCGAGAAATGTAGCAGGATGGTGACTCGGAGAGGCAAGGTAGTCCACACAGAAAGGATCTCACTCCCAGAGGGAACAATAGCAGACATTGAAACAGCTACAAGTATCCCGGTATACCACAGGCAAATGGCAACCTCGAACAGGCAACAAGGAAACCGGCAACTGCCAAATACCTCCAGCGAGTAAGGCAGGTCCTAAGAAGCCGGCTCAATGGCAAGAACAAGGCCCGGGCAATTAACAGCTACGCCCTCCCAGTGATCAGATACCCTGCAGGAATAATCAGGTGGCCAAAGGAAGACATTCAGACCATGGACGTTAAAACTCGAAAGCTCCTCACCATGCATGGTGGGTTCCATCCCAAATCCAGCACCCCGAGACAGTACGTAAGTCGTAAAGAAGGAGGCCGCAAACTAGTGAGTGTGAGAGCCACTGTCCAGGACGAAACATCCAAACTCCATAACTACATCATGGAGAAGGCCAAAACGGATGACGTACTCAGTGAATGACTCAGACAATAGCGAGATGAGGAGGCGCTGGAGGAGAGCCCATCATGGGAGGACAAGCCCCTACACGGCATGTACCACCGGAGCATAACAGAAGTGGCTGATCTCAAGAAGTCCTACCAATGGCTAGAAAGGGCTGGCCTACAGGACAGCACAGAGGCACTCATCATGGCTGCACAGGAGCAGAGCGATAGAGGCCCAGATATACCACACCAGACAAGACCCAAGGTGTCGGTTGTGCAAAGAGGCACCTGAGACGATCCAACACATAACTGCAGGGTGCAAGATGCTGGCAGGGAAGGAAGGGAACGCCATAACCAAGTGGCTGGCATAGTGTACAGAAACATCTGTGCAGAGTATGGGCTGGAAACTCCAAGGTCTAAGTGGGAAACTCCTCCAAAGGTACCTCCTCTAAAAGTATACGTGACAATTGACATGACAATTAATTGAACATTTATCTAGTTATTTATTGATATACATCATTTTGGCAGTTATGGTCCTCCATACTCGTGCCTTTATTTTGCCTAAGATGGAGTTTACTGCCGAATGTGAGCAGAATGTGCATTCTCTGAGCCATGGGAAGTGCAGGACTAAGCGCAAAAACCTTGGTATTTTGTCCCGCAGAAAGCTAACCTAACCAAAAACATTAACTCAGATTCCGAAATTCCAAGAGTGAGTCCTACAGGATTGAAGTGCTGGTACTTTTGAGTCAGGATGATGGATCTATTAAAATGGTCAGGATGCACACTTCGCTGATAAAAGCCTAGAGCAGCACATGATCAAACCCACAACCTTCTTACTAGCCACCGACGCCGTGCAGCAATGAGAAAAATATATGAATAGATTCAGATTCATTTATTTGCTATTTGCAATAAAACCACATTGGAAAACTGTGCAATACTACCCCAGTGTGCACCAGACAGAAGACGACACACACCAGAGCTCCTGCCACGGCGCCATCTTTACGGCGCCATGCGACAAACAGTAGAATAAACAGCAGAGAGCAGTAACATACATATAACAAGACAGTTTGGATAAGACACATTATGTTTTGGATAAAACTCGGACGTTTTTATTATGGAAATCAACTCAGACCACCCTTCGCCAATGTGGGCCGTCAGAGGGGGCTAGGTGAGGGGGGGATGAGCAGGAAAGACTTAGAGGTGGCCAACCAGTCAGAGACTAAGAGCCAATTTTTTTTACTGTGTTACAGCAAAGAGCCACATCATACAAATGTGCACTACATAAACATCACCCCAACCCTTACACACGCGCACGTACGCACACGAGCAACACGCGCACACACACACACACACACACACACACATGCAATCTGTCTGAGCAGAGAGAGGTGTGCTCTGCTCAGACAGATGTATTGTAAATGTCATCAACATGATAATGACAGAAATTGACTCGTACAGTACTAAAGGGCTGGACTCGACTCTCCCCGGTTTACGGGCGCTTCCACCGCTCGCTTTAGCCGCTCCCCGGTACTTTTTATTAATGGTTTGGCCCTGGTTCTAACCGGGCGAGTTGATACCAGAACAATTTCAAGTCAGCGAACATCAATTATGATTCCGAAATGAATGCTTTCAATCTCTAACCAAGAAAAAAAATCAAGTTTCAACCCGGTGTTCAGCAGAAACACAACTGTCTTTATCGAACCATGATTCACTCTCTGACTGCGTTTAATAAAAGATATAGATTTGACACATGACACCAACACCACGTTAGCTGATTTAGAACCACAGACAACATGTTCAGTATAAGACCAGATACTTTTGCATTTGATTGAAGACAGACACTCACCAGGCAGGCTTATCTCCTGGTGTAGCTGGTGCTAGCTGGTTTTAGCATGTTAGCCGGTGTTAGCCGATGTCCGTAAATGTAATCCATTTGGTCAAACCACCTCCAGACTTTTCGGTTCTGCCTCTACTTCTGCTGCTGCGATCTTTCATTTCACGGTTGTCACTTTTAAGCTTTTTAACTTTTCTCTGCATTGTCATGTTTGTGGGAATCATTCTGCTCCGTCCTTAGCGCTAGCTCCACAAACACCTTCTGGTTTCTGGTGGAACCATCGAGCTCACGCTGGTGTCCTCTCCTCAAACTGAGGAAGGTGTTGCCCTCATCCAGCGACCAAGGAACTGTTTTCCGTACGGACGTCATGGGTCAAGGCAACATGTTGTTTGTTATGATATTTTCTACAGCTGAGGTAGCAGCTGCAGAGTGATTGACAGCGCATCTGACCAATCAGAATTGACGTTAACCGACGTCAGATTGTTTTGGTGGCCTGGCTACTGGAGTGAAGTCGGCCTTTACTATGGGTCAGAACTACATAGAGAATGAATGGCAGCGCCACCACCGAGGCGTTTTTGAGGCTTGTCGTGTGAAAGCCCGAGAGCCGCACGGAACCAGCCAAAGAGCCGCATGCGGCTCACGAGCCGCGGGTTGGCCACCAGGTAGTGAGGAGGGTTTAGCTGTAAAAGTGTGAACTTGTTGTAGATGAGAGAGTCCCGTATCAGTCAACTTCGGACTATAGTCAATACAAAGGAAGCAAAGGAAGGTTTCTCACCCATCATCTGTACTTCTTAGCAAGTTTTCCCGACGTTTCGTCCTCAACCTGGGGACTTCTTCAGGGAATGAATTCTCGGACCGCGCGTTGGAGATTTATAACCTATGGGTGTGGTAAGCCACACCCTAACCCTGATACTAACTCGTAAACAATCTAAGGTCTGCTTGATGTAGAAGGGAGCAGGTCTAACGACCCTGCTGAGGCTAACGACCCTAACTCCTTAGCATGTCACAGACCTATTGTCTGCTGGGATGCTCACGTGGAGTGCAGGTTTCACCCCTCCTAACTCATTAGCATGTCACTGACCTTGTCCCAAGTTAGGGCGTTGTTTTTAGGATGTCGTCATAGATGCGAGGCAAAACAAATCTTAACCCTCCTCCTCTGTTAAGAGAAGGTTTTTGTTTCCTCACAAAAATGGCTTCTTTCACTCCTCTCTCAAACCAATTCTTCTCCCGAGCCAGAATTTTAACCTCTGTGTCATCCACCGTGTGGTTGGAGGCCTTCAGGTGGAGATGAACAGCCGACTGTGGCCCACTAGAGTTTTCTCTACGATGTTGGTAAAGTCGTTTCTGTAGAGTTTGTTTGGTTTCTCCAATATAGTGGTCAGTGCACTCCTCTTCACTACATTTAATTGAATACACCACATTGCTCTGTTTGTGTCTGGGTGTTTTGTCTTTGGGATGCACTAATTTCTGTCTTAACGTGTTGAAAGGTTTGAAATACACAGGGATTTTGTGTTGCCTAAAGATTCTTTGTAGTTTCTCTGAAACTCCCGCCACATACGGTAAGGACACCCCTCTCCTCCTACTTTCTTCTGTCTGTAGGACTGTGTCTCTGGCCTTTCTCGTCCTTTGGGCTTTAGTAAAAGACCACTTGGGGTAGCCACATCTGGAAAGTGCTCTCTGAACATGTTTGGTTTCTCTGTTCTTTCCCTCCGAGCTAGTGGGGACCTGGTGGGCTCGGTGTTGAAGCGTTCTAATGACCCCGAGTTTGTGTTGTAGCGGATGATTTGAATCAAAGGCCAAGTACTGGTCAGTGTGAGTGGACTTTCTGAAGACCTCAGTCTCTAATTGTCCGTTCTCCAGTATGATGACCTTACAATCTAGAAAGGCGAGTTCACTCTCCTTAGCATCCTCGCGAGTGAAATTTATAAAAGGGTCCACCGAGTTAATGTGTGCTGAAAATGGTTCCACTTCCTGTTTCTTTAACTTAACCCATGTATCGTCTACATATCGAAACCAATGGCTTGGCACTGTCCCTTGGTACGAGCCCAGGGCTTGTTCCTCCAGTTTCTCCATATACAGATTGGCCACTATAGGAGAGACTGGGGAGCCCATCGCACAGCCATGAATCTGTCTAAAGAAGGTGCCTCTAAATTGGAAATACGTGGTGTTAAGACACATTTCAAGTATTTCACAGATGTGGTCAGCTGTTAGTTTCGTTCTCTCCCCTAGTGTGGCGTCTTTCTGTAGGCTTTCTCTTACAGCCTCCACCGCCTCTGTAATAGGGACCGACGTAAAAAGCGATGTCACATCAAACGAGACCATTGTCTCATCTGTGTCAAACTGGAGGTGTTTGATTTTATTTACAAATTCTTTTGTGTTTTCTATGTGATGGTGGGTGTTACCCACCAAAGGAGCCAGAATGGTTTTGAGGTGTTTAGCCAGGTTGTAGGTGATAGAGTCTATGCTACATACAATAGGCCGAAGTGGAAAGTTTTGTTTGTGTATTTTTGGGAGGCCATAAATACTGGGGATGGTGTCTCCTGGGTAAAGTTTGTAATATAGTGGTTTTTCAATAAGAAAGTAGGAGGAGAGGGGTGTCCTTACCGTATGTGGCGGGAGTTTCAGAGAAACTACAAAGAATCTTTAGGCAACACAAAATCCCTGTGTATTTCAAACCTTTCAACACGTTAAGACAGAAATTAGTGCATCCCAAAGACAAAACACCCAGACACAAACAGAGCAATGTGGTGTATTCAATTAAATGTAGTGAAGAGGAGTGCACTGACCACTATATTGGAGAAACCAAACAAACTCTACAGAAACGACTTTACCAACATCGTAGAGAAAACCCTAGTGGGCCACAGTCGGCTGTTCATCTCCACCTCAAGGCCTCCAACCACACGGTGGATGACACAGAGGTTAAAATTCTGGCTCGGGAGAAGAATTGGTTTGAGAGAGGGGTGAAAGAAGCCATTTTTGTGAGGAAACAAAAACCTTCTCTTAACAGAGGAGGAGGGTTAAGATTTGTTTTGCCTCGCATCTATGACGACATCCTAAAAACAACGCCCTAACTTGGGACAAGGTCAGTGACATGCTAATGAGTTAGGAGGGGTGAAACCTGCACTCCACTTGAGCATCCCAGCAGACAATAGGTCTGTGACATGCTAAGGAGTTAGGGTCGTTAGCCTCAGCAGGGTCGTTAGACCTGCTCCCTTCTACATCAAGCAGACCGTAGATTGTTTATGAGTTAGTATCAGGGTTAGGGTGTGGCTTACCACACCCATAGGTTATAAATCTCCAACGCGCGGTCCGAGAATTCATTCCCTGAAGAAGTCCCCAGGTTGAGGACGAAACGTCGGGAAAACTTGCTAAGAAGTACAGATGATGGGTGAGAAACCTTCCTTTGCTTTGACTAATCCCTGTACGACTGAGGGCTTACACAAACAATACAAAGGAAGGTTTCTCACCCATCATCTGTACTTCTTAGCAGGTTTTCCCAACGTCTCGTCCTTCATCTAGGACTTTTTCAAGGGAATGAAATCTCAGACAAGGCGTTGGAGATTTATAACCTAAGGGTGTGGTTAGCCACACCCTAATCCTGATGCTAACTCATTAACAAACTAAGGTCTGTTTGATGTTGGAAGGGAGCAGGTCTAATGGTGCTTTCAGACCGGCAATGCTGAAACGCACGTTCTCTAGTTTTCACACCAGAGGTCCTGGCGCGCGCCGGAAGTAGCCGGCGGGCTCCGTTGCTAACAGAGTTTAGCTAGCGGCTTCTTGTGTACAGATCTTCTCCAATAATGCAGCTTTGCAGCGTGTCTGTGTCCAGAGACCTTCCACAGACTTTATACAACAGCAGTATGTGTTCACGGATGTGAAGTTTATTTTATTATTAAACAGTACTTCCGCATCGGCGAATAAACTCGAAGCAGTTGCATAAAGTTACGGGAGCATGAAAACTCACAAGCACTATGTCCCCCATTGTCAACCCTGGTTTAGTTGTGGTGTAGCTCCTGTTTTGGCTGTTTACAGTATATGTTCAGTCTGCTCGCTCAGACATTAATGTCCCCGTGACCACTTTGCGGCTCTCCGATTGGTCGCTGCACGAGTGTCCCGAGGAAAGGATGAGCAAAATCCATCTCCTGCGTTCCTCCCATTCGACTTTCCCGTGCGGTCCGTGCGTGCTCGAACGCGCTTCACCATAGACTTTGCATTGAAAGCCGACGCAACGCATGACGCAGGCATAACGACCCTGCTGGGGCTAACGATCCAAACTCATTAGCATGTCACAGACCTATTGTCAATATGTAGCCCAGGCCCAAACATTTGAGGACACTTTGTAACTATTAACTTACTGTACTGTATATGGTCTTTATCACATGGGCAGTATTCATGAGGCAAAGACACTGACCTTTAGCGTCCCGCAGTACCACCAGCTCCCCTCTGGAGATCCAGCGATAGCAGGGAAACAGATGGTTGGTGCCCTCTGGAGTAGACACACGAACACTGCGGCAGAACCACAAGTTATCGGGCAGAAGCATCACAGGCTCCTTGTCCAGTCTCAGCAGGAGCAGAGTACCCAGAGAGGAGGGGGTGGTCACACTGTAAGTCCTGATCTGCAAGACATTATTTTAGTTTTAAATCAAATTAATGCATTTATATACTACAAAACAATAATTTACCCAGAACAATGGCTCATAATCAGATATTGCACTAAAGACAGTATGAGTACTCACTGAGCCCACACCGAAGTCTCTGCCCCAGCCGTTCAGCTCTGTCTTCTGGCTCTGGCCTGCAGTCCCGACCAAGGTCACTGAGATGTGGTCCCAGGTCCCTGCGTAGGCCATGTCTCCAGTGCTCACCTCTACCTGGTATGTTGCCATGATGTTCACCTCTGCTAACAAGGATTTACATGCAATCTTAACAAAATAATGACATTGATTAATAATGCATTGGTTCTATATAGCGCTTTTTTGGACACTCAAAGGCACTTCACATGTCATTATTCTTTCACTCCATACACGGTGGTGATAAACTGTAGCCACAGCTGCCCTGGGGCACACTGACAGATTATAGGCAAACTGATTATACAGGGGGCCAAGATACCCAAGATATATTTGGAGACTAAATCTAACCAAACATTTTTGCATTTTCTAAATGAAAGTATCTTATAAGAAAGGAAAAAACAATCTATCTTCACTTTGCAGTTTGTTTATGGCAGTAGTTGTCTTAGCGCAACCAATAATGATCTTGTATATGACGTCACAAATGTGATGAACAGTTTTTCTCAGTTGCTTTGGTTCATTACTCAGATCTTTCACATTTGCCCAACATTTTTGGTGACACTTGGTGAGCTTTATACACAACCTGTACAGCCATTTACAGTAAAAACAACTGTAAAGTTACACATGACTGTATTTCGTGAGGTAACTGAGTACAAGACTTATGTAAGTATGTACTGTATATATGTATGTATCTATGTATGTGTGTATATGTACATGTATGCATTAATGTGTGTATGTATCTATGTATGAGTGTATGTGTGTGTCTGTGCATCACTTTTTTTTTTAGCATTTTTGCAAAAAGAACAGTCACTTACAGTATTTACAAGAAACGAGAAATAGCATTATGGAAGAACTGTGACAAATGTAAACAATACAACAGTACATACTTCTGAAAAACTATTATGACGTTTGTTTGATGTTTTTCTCAGTCGCTTTGGTGAATTTCTCACATCAGATTTAAAGTTCTCAAAACTATTAGTTCAACGTCCAAAACATGCATCAGTTACTTTCACTTGCTTCTGTCATGTCAAAGTGAAACATACTGATGACTACTGAATTTTTATTCACTCTAAAACCTCATTTCATTGCTTTAGTCATCACATACAAAATTGTTGAACTAGTTTTCAAAATCAAAATCTGTCTAGCTTGTTTTATACTTTATAATTTTTTTCCTGAAGATCTCTCCGCTGTGATGTAGATGAAAACATGTAGCCAGACAGACAGGAAGACGTGGATTTCCAGTAATAATTTATGTAAAGTTTTTTCAGTTATATGTATGTAAGTATATTGTTGACATTTGTCACAGTTCTACCATAATGCTGTTTTTTTAAGTTTGTTCTACGTAAATAATGTAAGTAAAAGGCTGTACAGATGTGTATAGTGCTCAAGTGCTCAAGCTCATAGTGCTCCATCTACACCTGCGGACTGCCCCGCCCGACCCGCCTGGGAGTGCTTCAGTCCTGCACCGGACCTGTCCACGTTCAACGGCCGCTGGTCCACGTTCTGTAGCTTAAGTCCTGGATCTATAGCCCGTCCGTCCGTGGGAGCGGATACCTTTCTCAATATGGGTCACCCCGAGGTTTCTCACTTTTTTCCCCACTGGGTTTTCCTTGCCGATGCAGGAGGGTCTGTTGGGCAGTTAGTGTCCAACTAGAGGCTCCAACTACACAATTCATGGGTTGTGTAGTTGGAGCCTCTAGAAGTGCAAAAAAGTTGAAATCAGTCTCTTCATGGGTATACTCTTGACAGCTGGAACAAGTTTCAGCCCCTCTGTCTGTCGACCCTGTCCATTGAAGATTCGGAAGACGTATATATCTTTGGCATTTTGGTGGTGGGAATCCTCCTGTTTGGCTTTGGAGCTGTTCTCTTCTACCACAAATTCGGAGGCATGGCAGTTCGCAAGATTCACAACCTGCTGGCCGACAAAATTGATGGGATGTACAAGGAACTTAGCCGCGTCGTGGTTGAGAGTGCCGTGTCTGGACAAAGGAGGGTGGTTTTGGTGGAACAGTTGGTTAAAGACCTCGCAGCTCGTTCACTCGATGGACATAAGACTCTGGAGTTGAGATTGAATGACATTGTGTGTCAGGCTTGAACTCTCTGACCCGGCTTGGATCTGCCCCTGTGTACGGGGTCTGAGGGCGCCGCAATTCGGTTTAATTGGATTTAATAGAATATCTGCCTGACATTGCATTGAATATTGTCCCCCTGAGGCGATGTGTTTTCTCCTGCCGTGTCTGTGTCTTCTCTCCACTCTTATCTCACATTCCTCGGGCCAAGGCCATAATAACAAGGTCCCCATCTACAACAATCTCACACTTCAGTCTCCAGCTCGGATCCCGTCTCCCCCACCTCCCTCTCTATCCATCTTGCTCCCTCCCTCCCCTCCACTCCTCACTGTGTTTCCGACTCACCCCCCTCCCTGACCCCGCCCCCCTCTGACAGCCACATTGGGCCGGCTGTAGGAGGTGCTTCATCCCGAGAAAAAATCCGTGCTTTATACAAGGCACAATGTGTCTATCCAACTGTCTGTGATACTGTATGTTATTGCTCTCTGCTGTTTATTCTACTGTTTGTCGCATGGCGCCGTAAAGATGGCGCCGTGGCAAGAGCTCTGATGTGTGTCGTCTCCTCTGTCTGGTGCACACCGGGGTAGTCTTGCACAGTTTTTCCAATGTGGTTTTACTACAAATGGCAAATAAATGAATCTGAATCTGAATCTAGAAGGACTGTGGTGATGATCCAGGACACTTTAACATTCTACAACATGTATGGACCTTTTTCGACATGTGTTCTATATTCTTTGTGTTTTAACTGTTGATTCTCTGATCTGTGTTGGTGATTTCAATGGTTTTGTTAAAGGGGACATATCATGAAAAATCCACTTTTTGTGCCTTAAATGCCTTATGTTGTGTAGTTGGAGCCTCTAGAAGTGCAAAAAAGTTGAAATCAGTCTCTTCATGGGTTGCAGAGAACACTTCATATTCTGTTTAGGTAAGATATTTCAACCCGTTCTGATTTTGCCATTCTCTATTACGTGTTTAGAATTATTACGTCACAGTATTTGCAGCAAGACTGCTATATAAGGGCATGGGCGTCTAACAAAGCACTTCGGCCCAGCCCTCCTCTACTGTGCATCACTTCGAATTTGTAGTCCAAGCTCAAGGATGCCAGCGAACAGGGCTGGACTGGCCATCGGGCGTACGGTCATACAAAACACATGTTTATGAGAAGTGTAAATCCGTTGAGAATTTTTTGAGCTGGGCGCGCGTATCCGCGGGGCACCTGCTGTATGTACTCGAACGGGATTCCGCCACCTCAGCGGCCGCAGTGTTCCGGGGCATCTGCGGCCGCTTTGTAATGAGCAGCTGCCGCGTACAGCCGCTCGCAGCCGCTCCACCGTGTTGTGGCTGAGCGCGCAGCCTCAACGTGGCCATGTACCCAACCCCATAAACGCGCACAGGACCATGCGTGTCTTTGAGTAATCTGTGCACCCAATAAATACACTGCTGCAGGAAACAGTCCGCGTCTCGCGTCTCCCGTCTCCCCTCTCCTCTCTCTCTCTCTCTCTCTCCTCGAAGTGCGATTAAACACCCTAAATAAAAAGCTCTGATACCTACATTTTGCATTGCATTAAAAGTTCATGTTTGGGCCCAAAAGTAATATGTTGTGAACAAATTAAACAGATTTAGAGCCAGCAAATGGCTGACAATATGCATTTCAGTCTTTTTTGACCAATTCTCATCCCTGTAACAAACAATAGTGTTGTCTGTGTCCACCTCCCTCACTCTGAGACATGTTTATTACTGTCTTGTAATGTAGACTATTGCATTTTATTTTATTGTTGAAACTGCACATATCCTGATCCTCTACAGTATTTGCTTCCACATACTGTATAAACTAGGAGTCGGCAACCTGCGGCTCCGGAGGCGCATGCGTCTCTTTCCTTCTGTAGAAGGAAAAACGTTCTTAACGGTTTTAAATGCTGTAAAATTAATAGTAGTAATATTCAATTTAAACATTTCTGTCAACGTAGTGCGTCATATCCTGCGACGTAGGCCCGCGCCAGGCGGCCGCTGTTGTAAACAAACCGGCGTGTGAGCATCATAGACTGTGCGCATGGATCCCAAAGCTAAAAAGAGAAGAGTCGATAATAAGACTGGACTGAGAATGAAACTTAACATTTGCTTTCTGTCAATGAGGAAGGACTGCTTCATGTTTGAGATGTAATGAGAAGTTTCTATGAGATAATTGTATCTGTGCTTCGTAACTACAAAAATGGCCGCTCGGGGTGGAGTTGAACCTGTGTCACCTGGATGGGGGCGTGGTCAAAAGCGCCTCATTTGCATTTAAAGAGACAGCACCAAAACAGGTTGCTCTCAGACGCACCTCAAAAACGGTGTAGAAGAAAGGCCGTGGAGCTACAAATAATGAGACTCAGACCCAGGCATTGCAGTTACGCTTTATATAGGCCACAAATTAATGATTTAGATGTAAAAATCTATTATTTGAATTATTTGAATTATTATGTCCACTTTAAGCCTCTGAAATGACTTCTGTTGTGATTCAGGGCTATACAAGAATAAATTGTATTGTATAATTGTATAAATTGTATTGTAAGTGTCACCAAGATCTGATTTCTTTATATTGAAAACACAGCGAGAGTAAACTGTCACAATGAAAACATGACTAAAAAAACCATTTGACTGTGTTGTTCATAAACACTGGTGTTAGGACATATTATTCTGATGACACAGTTTCATCAACATGAAGACTTGCTTTTGAGAAATCAACTTTTCATTTTGAGAAAGTGATACACTTTTGCAAGTTTTCCACGAGGTTTTGCAGTTTGCACTAATTGTTCTGAGAAATGCACTAACTGTTGTGCAAATGTGAATGATCTGAGAAATGCACCAAAGCCACTGAGAAAAATTGTATAATTATTATTATAATTCCTGGATATCCACGCTTTCCTGTCTGTCTGGTCACATAATGTAATCACAGCGGATGTCTTCCCTTGAAGGCAGCAAAGAAAGTATGTCCTTGAGGTGAATCCACCTCCTCATGAGTAAAAGCTGAAATTCACCTGAGAGCAATTG